CATCCATAATGCAAGTTTTTTTTGGGTTAGATCGCTTTGCTCTCCAACACACTGGTGTCCTGTACTAGTAACGAATTGGCATGTTCTGTTGACATGACAAACCTTACTAAATTGGCTGTCGGGTGGTGGCGGGTTTAACGACACATTAATAAATGTATTCCATTTGTGCCAAAGGGCATATCACGAGATGAAATACATTCGGGAAATCTTCCAGTCCGCCATCCTGTTTGGAGGCCAACAACCCGCGGAAGTGAATTTTCTTTTTCCCAGGACATCCGGACGATCCTTCGAGTGGCCTTTTCCGTCCATCGCACAGAAAGCCCCGCGATGGGATTACTACGCGACTGTTGATCCGATATTCCGCTTAAAGAATTCTCAAGAGCTGGAACGTGGCCGAATCGAAGGATCGCAGCGACACAAAGTTTGGCCGAGTTGGCGAAGCCAATTTTCAACGGGGGGAAATCACAAAACTGTAACTGGGCAGAATCGTTGATAAACATCAGGTTGCAGGAGGGGGGGGGGGGGGAAGGTAACTTGCAAAAGGTGGATCATGCTGAACAGTAGGTTAAATCTAGAAGAGGTTGAAATAAAATACAACTGCATCCTTGCAAGAAAGCAGGAGTGCAGCATCGATGCTGAGACAGAGAGGTTATCGATACTTAAAAGAAATGAATAGGAACCAAATCTAAGTGGAGAAGACAACATTTGCTACGCGACTGGAAATCGGATATATTTTTTTATACCACTACATGAAGGATAATGTTTGCGGTAGCTGAGCGGTTAACGCAGGCAAAGCCTTTTCACCACAACCTTACTCGATTGAACAAACAAGCGGACGGAAATGTGACTATGTCAAAAGCGGCGCGTTTGGGGTTTGATGGTTTGGAGCCGGGAGGAGCTGCGGCGAGTTTATCGGGCAGCGTTGGGAGGTGAGGACCCCGGCAACTCTCCGTGTACACGTGTTCTCGTCGGGAAGTTGCTACGAATGATACCAAGCTCCAAAACGTCCCTTTCCCATTGCTGCTGCAAACATTTAAATCGATCTTTTTTTATGGAGAAACAAAATGTACGGCGAGTATCACTACAATATTTACCGCAACTTTAAAAAGCAAACAAAGTTTTTTTTTTCTTTCTCGGCCGCGCTTGAAAATAGCGCACCTCCGGTTAGCACGGTTGGCTACGTACGGTGCGAAAGAAGTTCAACGTACGCGCTTCACAGGTGATGCCCTTAGCCTCAGTGTTCTTCACTGCAAGGCCCCGCGGGACACTGGGGGCCCCTGGTGGACATTAGGGGCCATCCATTCAGTATGTACGCATGGAGGGAGGGGGGTTAACCCAAATGTGTACGCTTGCGTATGAGGGGTCTACTGACAATGTGCGTACGCATTGGAAACGGGGGCGGGTGAAGCCTCGATAATAATTTGTCTACACTGGCCTTAAATGAGTTAGATAGTCCGGCGGAGGATTATCGTTTTTTTTTTTTTAACACGTTAATATTATTAATCTTTGATCGTTTCTGTGTGGATTAAATATCGGCCGTGTTATAGAATTCGTACAGGGAGGGGGAGGAGGTCAAGTTGACAGATTTTTGCGTACCTACTCAATGGATGGCCCCTTAGTGCAGCTCCTGACAATACACACACGTAACAACACCCTCCCCCGCCGCCCCCCGCCCCATCATCGTGCTGCTGTCAGAACCCCAATGGTTTAAATGTGACGGCCCTCACACAACTGATGATGTCTTATGGGCGAACGCCCCCCCCCCCGCCCCACTCTCTGAAAATGAGTGAAGAACATTGCCTCAGCACAATGAGCTTGAATGCTGATAAAATTGTTACCATACTCATTGGTTCTTAACGGTAAAGTCACGTATGTAGAAATAAAATGAAATGTAAAAGAATTTTTTTTTATTTCTACATACGTGAAGTCACATATGGAGAAATAAAATAATTCTCGTAAATTTCTCCATACGTGACTTTACCGAAAGAACCAATGAGTAGAGTAATTCCTACAGTCACGAAAGCTTCAATCCTAGATTAAAGTTGTTACCGCTAATTTTAATTTGTTACATCTTCCTTTGTATCAGCTGTCACACTACCTGTGTGCCGTGAACATTCATATTACTTGCGCTAATTGCCTCATTTTATTATTCAAGCATATCACCAATTTAAATGTAACTTTACGTTGAGATAACTGCGCGGTTGTCGTTAACGCTTTATGAACCGTAAACTAGAAATGACGGTCTTGATTTGAAGCTTTCGTGACTGCAGGAATCCACTCTTTGGTTCTTTCGGTAAAGTCACGTGGGTAGAAACAATAGAATAAATCACGACGTTTCGGGCGCAACACAAGTGACCGTGATGACGGACGCTTGTGTTGCGCCCGAAACGTCGTGATTTCTTTTATACCTACGTGACTTTACCGAAAGAACCAGAGGATAGAAATTACGACTTTTTAACTTTCACAATAGCAACAAGCTCGTATTGTATAACATATCTAAATGGTTTGTGCGAAAGAACTGATTATATATTCGACAGGGGGACAGGGGGGGGGGGCAAATGTTGTTCCCGTGTTCAGTGTTGTGCTCAACCATGTGCTCATTGGCCAATGGATAGGCAGCAGAATATCCAGAAATCACAATGAGTCTCCTGCACCTGAGGTTGGAGGTTTGTGGATGATGCAGGTTCCTTCGCTACGGCCTTTTGCCTGGAACATTGAACGTCATTGGCCTTTTTAAGTACTCGGACCTTAGGCTGAGCTTTGCAACAACAACAAAAAACACGAAATAATGAGCATCTTTGTTGTGGACTATACGCAACAAAATACAGGAGCAATGATGCCTCATTCGTTTCGAGATATAGATATGAAGGAGTCATTGTCCGCGTATATATTTTGCAAAAAAAAAACAAGTTGTTGCCAGTGGCGAGGGTTGGGTTCGTGCACCTTGATCGCAGATGTCATTCTAAAAAAAAGAAACTGCAGGTGGCCAAGGAAAATCACGTGGAGAGTTTCTTATGAATACTCTTGGTTCTTTCGGTAAAGTCACGTCGGTAAAAAAAGGTTAAAGATAAAAAAAATTAAATCACGACGTTTCGATTGCAACACAAGCAATCATCATCACGTGTGACAACCACAGCAAGTAATTTTACTGAAGTAGGAGAGAAGCCGGAGATTGCTTGTGTTGCAATCGAAACGTCGTGATTTAATTAATTAATTTTTTTATCTTTTAATTGTATTTTTTTATTTTCCTTACCTACGTGACTTTACCGAAAGAACCAAGAGTACGGATCCTTGCAGTCACGAAAACTTCAAATCGAGAAGTTTCTTATGAACTCCATAATCCAAGGAACGTGTACGCGGGGGAACTGTACGGTTATCAGACAGGTGTTTTGAGACGCCAGCAATGCCCGTGAATTTACGGGTCAACGAAAAAAAAAGCAGCTTCTGGTCCCGACGAATGTGAAGGACAAATTTGTATGACAGTAAAAAGGGGGGGGGGGGGCAGACACGCCTTAACGTAATCAGGAAGAGGAGGTTAATGTGGATGTAAACAGGAAGAGGATGGGAAAGGGCAGGTTACCAAAACAACCATTAGTGGTGTTGGCACTAGAGAGGGTTGATCACCCACCCAAGGGGAAGGGCTGGAGCCAGATAGTTGGGATATTGCAACGGCAAGAATTTTGAGGTCACGTGTTGACTGCAGACCAGGCGAGTGATCTAGGCAAAGGACTGCACAGTCACGGGTTTTGGGGCTGTTATATTGAACTGTTTTGAGTGGACTCGCTTTGGGTCTCTGAACAGAGCTGTAATAGATAAAACATTATATATCCACAAGCTTTGCGTGTCATGGCGGGTGGGTTTTTTTGCCATCACCAATTAGCAAATTTACGGCAATAACAAAGCGTCGAGATAATGAAGAAAATCCATGCACTGTATGCAAACGTGTCTCGTTTGCATGTGTTTCGGTAGAACTTCTTTCACACTGCACGCAGCCAGCCATGCCAATCGGAGGCTCGGGAGGACACAAAACAAGAAAGCCACGCTTGTATCCCTCCCTACACAAGAATGGGTGTCTACAACTACGTAAAGCCACATCAAGAGGAATGCACCCTAAGAGCCCCAAATGGTTTGGGGCTTGCTCTTGCAAAAAAACAGACATCGTCTAACAACCGCCAACTAGGTTTTTAACAAACGGAGCTGACACAGGTCTCGTTTCGCCCACTGCGGCATTTCTCTAAAGTTACAACACCAGCAGTCAGAATGTATTAGGCGAGGCATAATATGCCACACACACACCGTGCCATTTCCAGGTATTAAGCAGAAACCTTGTTTGGGAACATTTGTTGACCTTGGGAATCAAGGTTTTCTCTAGAACTGCTTTGTGTGTCGAGTTTGTTGTCCTTCCCCCGCACCTCCGATTAGGACGGTCGGCTACATACGGCACGAAAGAAGTTCAACATACATACAAGGGCATGCACCAAGTCTGTGGAACATTATTTCTATCCACATCAGGAACTGTCGGTTCTTTTAAATCGAGCCTAAAAAAACAATTTTTTCTCGATGGATTTTCTTGCCGGTTGATTGTATTTCATGGAGATTGTGACTTATACGTTCAACCAGATTTTTATCATAGTTTTTCTGGGTTCCACCAATAATTATGTCAAAAGTTCCGATTTTGGTTTGATCTTTTGTTTTATTGTATTCAGATTGGTTTTTACTGGTCAATGTTTGATTTTAACATTATTTTCATTTAACTTTTTTTTTACCTCTGATGTACGGCGCTTTTGAGATTATAGCAATCCCTCGACAACAGCGGGGGTTAGGTTCCTGGAAAATGCCGCGGTAGGTAAATCCGCGGTTGGTGATGTCCAGGGCCTATGGAAAGTAGTAGGGGGTTAGAGGAAACCACTACTGTGGTCAGACTAGTCATAGCTTACCTACGTTGCCTGTTAATGAACTAAACACCAAATAAAAGACAGTACATTACACAAAATCATAAATAAATATTACGTTTACACATCTTTAATATTCACGATGATGGTGACAATGAGATGAGGGGGGAGGGCTGGTTAGGAGGAGGAGGGGGGGCTCAACCCACCCCCCTCTTCCTCGGGGCCACTGACACAGCACTCTCACCACCTACACGTGTAAGAGCAAATTAAACCCTTTCCAGAAATCGGGAAAAAATAAATACAACTTTATCGGTACACGACGTCTTGAATCGCGTCACGTAATAACGATGTCAGGCTGTGACGCAGTGACACACACACGTCACGTTAATTCCTCAACACCGTGCTCACCCGTGGATACTCAAATGTCCAGACCACGGCTGCTAAACGACGGGGGTACACAGAAGCAAATCCGCGTATGCTCAAAACATCTCGCGGTTGGTAAATTCGCAGTTGGCAAGGGATTACTGCACTAATATGAAAAGCGCTTTGTAAAACTGAGTTTATTATCACTCGGGGAAGCGATCACTATTGAGGGGGAGGCAGGAGACAAACATGGGTGCCATGGTGGTGGAGAGCTGTTAACGACCTCGCCTGGTATACAGGTCTGGGTTCCATCCAGACCCTGACACCTGTATATTTGGAGTTTGCATGTCCCCCCTTTCATCGCGTGGATTTTTCTCCGGGTCCTCCCGTTTTTCCCTCTACATTTATCATTATGCGTTTTAGAGTCTGACTGCTATACATTTCCACGTGACGAGCCACTTCTTTGAGCTATCGTTTGTAGCTAGTCAGGTTGCTTCTGAAAAAGAGCTAAATAGCTCTGTGGGCCTTCACTCGTAAAATAAAAAAAATCTTGATGGTTTGGTTTAGTTTAGTTTCAAACATCACAGGGTAAAGTAGACTGGAATGTCATACGCTGCAAAGTAAGAAAAAAACTGTAATTGTACGATATAAGTTAAATGGAATTGGCTGCAGTAGGGATCTTACGGTTGTGTATTCCGAATTCACCGATGGATTTGTGATCGTATTGTAACCGTACATTTTACTTTGGAACCGAGCAATATTGGTAGCAACGAGAACTGAATGTAAACGTTTTACCATCAGGGTAGAATTCAGCAATAAAAGCCCATGTCTCCGTCCTCATGCGAGCATTGTGCAGTGCTTCAATGGTGGATGCTGAGCCAGTGGTACACAAAAAAGAAATGCATAGTCCTATGGTGGGCGCAAGTCTATCCTTTGGACAATTACTATTGACTTTCAACAAATTGGTAACCAATTTATTGACCCCAGAGGGATAATCGGATGGGTCAACATACATCGGGTACATCATGACAGAAACCACCGCCTGGAATTTAATTTTGATGTGCATCTCCTGATTACACCTTAGCTAGACATTGAGAAACCTGTGCTTGGTGGTTAGCTATGTGCAGACTAGTTGTTTTGCCTTGATTAGGGACAACGTCAGGAACCGAGTTAGAACTAGGTAATGGTTTACAGACAGCACGAGGAGCCATGGGTTGTGCTGGAACTAAAGCTACTGTTAAGTCAAAACTAGAGCATATGGTCAGAGTTATGGTTAAATAAATAGATCGTGTTAATGGCCAGGGTTAAGAATTAAGCAATTTTGGGGGTTAAGGTTGGCAAAATAGGGTGAGCATTGTGTATAGACAGTCTTCACTGCCATTTACGATGCACATCTGTGTTTTTCGGCTGATGTTAAAGTTAGCGATAGCCATTGCTCACAATCAGGAAGTAGGAGATCTTTCACGTGCTGGGCCCATATTTTCACCGAACGCTTCAGACAAAAGTCCTGTGCGAGGGGCTGCGCGGTGGAGCGGCATGGGTATATTTAGTTAAAGTGGTAGTGATCAACGGTGTGAGAAAACCGAGTAATGCATTGTGCCCTAAAGGAGTCAGATTTGGTTTGAGTTTCGGGTAATCGAACGTTCGCATGTGACGTGATCAGTCCGAGTCTGAGTCTGAATTGTTGGAATGTGGAGGACTTGAGTTTTGCATGGTTTCCTCCAGGGGTGCCAACTTCCCATCCATACCCACACCCATGGGCTGGATGATCTGCTCCCTGCAAGGCCACACAAAGATGTACATCATCACATCAACACTAACCGACATTACCACTACGACACCAAACACTGGTCCGTGTACCCTTTTTCCACTGAGAAATCCGAGCCGTGCCAACGTGGGGCCCTCATTGCACGAGCGGTTTTCCACTGGCTATTTGCCATGCAAAAGCCAGAACCAAACCATGCTATGCTGGCCATGAAAGATAACTCAGTCAAGACGGACCAAATCATGACAATTGTTTGTATCACGGGGGCTGGTGGCAGGAAATGCGTGCAGTTACATGGCTTATGTGCGTGCCGTTTTAAAGCCTTGTGTGCACAAGAAAGCCCTTACCGTGAGAGTTTGTCAAACATGCTGACAAGTTTCATAGCTTCATGTTCCTTTTGCTCATCAGTCATCCCCTCCATGGGGTTGGGGAGTTTTTCTTCCACACGTCCAGTTATGGGGTTGATGCTGCCACACGTGTCGAAGAGAAATCAGAAAGAACCACCATGTAGCTTTTTACAGACTGTTGGGGTCAAGCGCTGTGAGCACCTATCGAGGCTGGCGCGATGCACAAACATACTGTGTGGTCAGCACCATACCTCGCCCGGCCTTTGTCTCCCCCAGTGGTAATGTTTACACACCGGACCAGGTACTGATTTTTAAGGCTAAGTCGACCTAGGGGAGGCCCAGGACCGGTTCAGAAAACCATTACCGGTGTTGGTGTTGGCCGCGAGCGGCAATCAAATTCGAATCGCCGGGGGTTCGTAGCGCAGCGTGCTAACCATTGCACTCCCGCTCCCCACCCTCCCGCTCGCAACACTTACACGCAAACATACAATTGTGGTATTCCAAGTGCAAGTATGGAATATCAAATGAATTTTCTGCCGGAATTATGTACAATTACCACTTTAAAAAATACAATCACTCTGGGTATGTGTGTGCAAGTTGTATGAGTGCAAAGACAAAGATCCCCCCCCCCACCACCCCCCATTTAGCCTTTTCTGGCTGTTAGGGAAGGCGCTGTTAGTGAGCACCTATGCAGGCTAGCATGGCGCACAAGAGAGTGAAGTGGCCAGAACCACACTATCACAGCACCAACGTAGGGGGTTATCGCAATGTGCTACGAACCACAGCGGGTTAAGGCTCCTCGACAACAGCGAACGCCAGTGGCGAATATCTGAGCCAGTCCTGGGCCTCACCTCGGTTGACTCAACCTTCAACGAGTTCCTGGTGCGATGTATAAACATCAGCAATGGGGAGGGCAAAGGTAATGAGGGGGGGAGGGGGGGCATGGAAAAGGCCCTGACCACCACCCCACCCTCGTGTGGCGTGCCGGCCTCCGTAGATGTGCTCGCTAACAGCACCAGCCCCCATCGACTGTGTAGGCTACACGGGGGGGGGAGGGGAGATATTTGTCTCTGTGTATCATGCGCTGCTGTACTTGGGCTTCGCTTGCCGGTACTCCTCTGTCTCTGAATCGGAGTCGTCCGAGTAGTGGCCCTCGCCACGCCCGCCGGCCATGAGCCCCCGCGCCGCCAGCAGGCCCGCTGCGTTCCCATAGCCAGTGTACTTGACGAAGCGTGCCACTGAAGAGCAACAACAACACCGCCGCCGCCACCACCGCTTTTACCTTCACAGCACAGGTATCAAAACTAAACTAAAACTTGGCATCATGTTTGCAATAACCTCAACACAAGAAGTCAAAATGCAAACAAAAAGAAACAACTCTGATGATGATAATGATATGCACTGTCCTTGAAGTTGATTGGTCCACACCCGAGACAGCTTTCTTTAGAGCCTAGTCTCCATTGGTGTTGGTAAGACCCACTTGATCTGTATAGATCTTTTTCAGAAGCGACCCGGCCACAAACGAAAACTCAACCAAGTGGCTTATGTGGAAATTTATAGCATAGAAGTACTCGAAACGTACGTCGATTTTACATGTCGAGGGAAAAACTAGAGGACCGGAGAAAAATCCACACGACCACGGGGAGATCATGCAAACTCCAAATATACAGCAGGCGTCAGGGTCGGGATTAAACCCATGCCCTCCTGTATACAAGGCGAGGTGATTAACATCTCGCCACTCCATAGCAGCAGCAAGACTATTAACATTTACAGGATCTTCAACAGAAGCAGCAAAGACAGAAACATTAAACGTGTATTGTCGTTGGGAAATGTAAATAAAATGGAATGGAATTTTATAAAGTAGCCTCCAGTCCGAGCTGTATCATGTCACGTTTCATATTTCGGTTGGCATTGTCGTCGACAGCCAATACCAACAAGAGAAGTGCCAGAAACAACGCCAACATGAACATAAGCAGCCACAGTATCCCCATCAACAACAGGACAGATAACAACAACATCAACACCAACCTCACTATCAAAACAATACCAATGAAGTACCCGTCGAGGACGCTTGACAACGGAGTTGAGGCACACGTATATTTATTTAACAAGTTGCCAGTACAGGACAGCCCTAGAGGGGGTAGCGGCCCCCTCACCCGTATAACTCAGGGAATACCCCTAGCTATCCATAGCCTATCCCCTGAGTCCTCCACTAAGAGCTAGGGGAGGCTGTCTGGCCCGACACTGGTAATCGGGCTCGGTACCCGGAGTCCCAGAGCACTGGCTCTGGTTCACGGGACCACACCACTGGCTCGAGCCTGATCCCGTGGGGCCCTGATAAGGGCGGCGATCAGGGGGAGTCCAGGGCTCTAGCTACGACGTCTTCCGACTTCTTAGCTTAACTATAACATAACTGACTAAGCCCATATAACGACCCCTTTTTATACCCAACCCTCCTTGAGGGGTGGGGCCCCGGGGGATCGTAACGCCGAACCAGCCCCCCCCCAGGGTGTCTGGCTCGGACGTCGCAGAGGGCATCTCCCTGTGCACACACGTAGCCCCGCCCACTGTGTTTCTTTCCCATAGGCTGCCATGCATAACGGCCCTCTCTCCAACATCCCTACATCACTCCCCCCCGCATAGCTCGCAGCCGTCCCGGCTGCAACAATTTCAACAAATGAATCTTAACCCCTTGACTCCCCCCGTGTGTGCCCCATTTTTTCATTTAACAGAACGAGAATTGAACAACAACACTAACAATGCCCCTAAAGGGAGAACAAACCGACGCGCCCCCCCCCCCGAATAAATACGAAATCCGTAGAGGCAAGATATGTACATTTCCCGGAACCCTCAGCGCACGCACAACACGCACACAAGACGCACACACACACACAGCCATAATACAACAACGCGCCAAGAGCGCCACACGAACGCAGCGTCCAGTAACAATAGCACACGAAAGTGTACCAGAAAACGCAAAAAAAAATAAAAAAAATTTTCTTCTTATTTTCGTTTCGTTTTCACTTCTTGTTCGCGTTCCAGTGTTTTTATAAGAGTCTGCGCATTTTAGCGCGCGTCCTTGCCGCAGGCCCGTCACAAGGGCCAACCTCAGATGGCGGACCATTCGGTGGCCGCTGTCCCATCCGAGGCGAGTCCGCAATTGGAGTGGCGGGACCCTCGGCATCCCCCGTGAGGGATGTGCGCGAGCCCGTCATTCCGGGAGAACCTGGGGGCGGGGCAACCGGCAAGACGTCAGGTGAGATCAACAGAGGCGGACCCTCCGGGTCGGTCGACCCCTCACATGCTTGGCCCTGCGCGTGTGGAGCAGAGTCCCGCACCGCAACGAAGGGTTTTAGTCTAGAGGGGTGAACGAACCACCGGCGCCTCCCCCACTTGATACGAACGCACTGCGGTCGCAAAACCTCGACCACCTCGACGGGGCCCCGCCATGGCCGTACCAGTTTCGAGGAGGTCGCAAGCGGTACCTGGGGACAGTGCAGCCATGCCCTGTCCCCTGGCTTCCACTGCAGCACGTGCGCGCGCGCGAGTCTGAGGCGCTCATTCGCCTTTTGGCGCATGCGGGAATTGAGCATGGCAGCATCCCGCGCCTCAGTTAGCTTTTGAAGGTTAAATTTAACGTGCTCGTCCAATTTAATTTTACCTAGAGGCGCGGGGATCTGCAGCTGTGCCCGAACAGGTGGGTCATGTTCGCGACCATACATGAGAAAGAAGGGTGAAAATCCCGTGGCAGCATGGGGGGCCAATCGATATGCTGCCAGGACCCCTTGAATTTGCAAGTCCCAATTGGTCTGTGACTCCGAAACCAGGTGCGACAACATAGACGTGATGGTACGATGCAGACGCTCGACCATCCCGTCAGTTTGTGGGTGATAGGGAGAGGTACGAATCTTCTTTGTACCTAGGAGATCACAGACTTGTTTGAGGAGGTTCCCGGAAAAATTTTTACCCTGGTCGGTCAGCAGCCGCTCCGGAGCACCTTTGTCCATGACGTAGCCTTGGACAAAGGCGTCCACGATGGCTGCTGCCGACTGATTTGCCAGGGGCCAGGCCATAGGCCAGCGTGTGAAGTATTCGACCCCTGTTAGCAAATATCTATTGCCCCTAGGGGTGGCGGGAAACGGCCCCAGGATATCCAACGCTACGAGTTCGTTCACCCTGGAGACTGTGATGGACTGCAACGGCGGGTTCGACTCCCGAGCTGGTGGTTTGCGTTGCGCACACCGGGGGCATGCTGCCAGCAGATCCGTGACATCCCGTGTCATGCCCGGCCAAAAAAAATCCAGCTGGAGCGAGGCGAGGGTCTTTTGGGTACCCAGGTGGAGGAGGCGCTCATGAGCAGCCCACACCACCTTACCCCGTAACCCCGCAGGAACTACCAGCCGGTGACGGTGGGATTTACCGTCCCAATGCATGAGCAAGCCCGCGTGTATTTCCCAATTGTCGGCATCACCCGTCCCACACCCTCTCTCCCTGGCGCGACGACGCAGCGCGAGGAGGGAGGCGTCCTCCATCTGGAGGCGTCCCCACTCAATCACAGGCAACCCAAGCAGGGAATCCCTTCCCTGTTTCCCGATCTCATCGGGGAGCGATGTGTCAACATCGGCGGCGGCCGCCAGGACTGGAACCGTCATGTCCCCAGCTGGCTTGCAACGCCCCGACCCCAGGAGGCATGCGCATTCGGAGGTGGTTGGCATGCGCGACAGAGCGTCCGCATTTGTGTGGCGAATGCCCTTACGATAGGTGGTGTCAAAATCGAAATCCTGGAGGACCTCCAGCCATCGGGACAATTGTCCCGATGGCTGTTGAACCTTCAGGGCGTACTGCAGTGCCGCATGATCCGTACGGACAGTGAAATGCTGACCGTACAGATATGGGCGGTACTGTTGGATGAAGAAAACAATTGCCAACAGTTCTCTACGGGTGACACAATATTTTTGCTCCGCTGGAGACAACACCCGACTGCCGTACGCAACCACCCGTTCCACGCCATCAACCACCTGGGAAAGCACGCCTCCGATACCTGTGTTGCTCGCGTCGGTGTCGAGCAAAAACGGCCTCGAAAAATCGGGGTAAGTCAAAGGAGGAGCCTTCACCAATGCATCCCGAAGGGAGCAGAAAGCTACTTCCTCATCCCGACCCCAGTGGAACCGAACCCCTTTTGATGTCAAAGCATGTAGGGGTTTGGCAATTGTAGCAAAATTAGCGACGAACCGTCGGTAATATGAAGCGAAGCCAATAAAACTCCTCACCTCCCCCACCGAGGTCGGAATTGGCCAGGAGCTGACACACTGCGTTTTGGCGGGATCGGTAGCAATACCCGAGCGCCCCACGATGTGCCCCAAATAACGCACTGACTCGCGAAACAAATAGCATTTTTGGGGCTTAAATTTCAAATTAGCAGCCCGCATCCTTTGGAAAACCGCCCGCAGCCTCTGGAGATGTTCGTCAAAGGTTCTTCCAAAAACAATTACGTCATCCAAATAAATCAGGCACGATTCCCATTGCAATCCAGCCAAAACCAATTCCATCAACCGCTGGAAGGTTGCCGGCGCTGAGTGTAAGCCCATCGGCAACCGGTTGAATTGGAACAGGCCGTGCGGTGTACGGAAAGCGGTTTTAGGCTTCGAATCATCGTCCAGAGGAAGCTGCCAGAATCCCGAAAGTAAATCTAGTGTGGAGAAGAATCGCGCTCCCGCCAAGGCGTCCAGCGATTCGTCCATCCGTGGGAGCGGGTATGCGTCGGCAACCGAAACCTTATTAAGGCGACGGAAATCTACGCAAAACCGCAACGAGCCATCCTGTTTCTTAACCAGGACAATCGGTGCTCCCCAAGGGCTGGTAGAGGGAGAGATAATGTCGGCGGCTAACATGTCATCGACAGCCGATTTGACATGGTCCTTTTCGGCGGGACTCAACCGAAAAGGATTTTGGCGAATAGGCGCGCTGTCACCCGTGTCAATATGGTGACGCAGCAGGTGAGTACAACCCAAATCGTATTTATTCCGACTGAAAACGTCGGAAAATTCCTTTAGCAGCGATCTAAGCCGTTGGCGCTCTAAATTGGACAGGTTCGTCGATCCCGCACAAAGCGCGTCGAGCCACCCTTCATCGCCGTCCGAATGCGGGTGCGTCCGAGCAGCAGTGTCAATGTGGTTCACGGCAGGTTCCTCGCAGGGCACCGGCGTCGCGTGAGCGAGCACAGTCCCTTGGGGAACCACTACTGTCTGCGACCCGACATTGAGGACCGCGATGAAGGGATCCTCGTCCCCCCTTACGATGGTCTGGGCCGGAATTAAATGAGGCCCATTAACCCCGGCCCTAGACGGCCCCAGCACAACACCCTGATCCCCAACACCCTTAGCGAAGGGCCTACGAAGTTTAAGAGGTACCAGCATTTGTGCCCCCGGCGGCACACGCACTGTTTTTACGACGAACGCCGGTACCGTCGCGAACGCCGTCCGAGTCGCTACAGGGGAAGGCAGGAACGCCATACGTCGCCCCGACGGAAGTTCAATGCATCCTTGGTCGATCAAAATACGAATTGGCATCCTGCCCAAGAAGTCCGTCCCCAGCAGGCACGGAACTGCCAGTGAGGAGGAGACAAAAATCGGCCCCGACAATTTGATGTCCCCGATAGAAATTTGCGCTCGAATCTGTCCCACGATGCCGAGAGAGCCCCCGTTAGCGGCATAGAAAGGGACATTAACCGGTAGCAAAGGACGGCTCTGCACCGGTAGAATATTGTAAATTAGTTCCGAAATAATTGTCGCCGATGCCCCTGTATCGACTATGATGCGTACCTCCACCCCATCAATGTAACCGACCACGGCCGACGATCCCGACGCCGCGGCCACCACGCGATGGGCCAACACGGACCACCGCTCGGGCTCGATTTGAGTCCCCGCAGTGGTCCGCGCCGGTCCATCGCAGCGCCCCACCGGCCCCCCGTTCGTTACGGTGCGAGAGTGTGCGACAGGTGGGTGCGTTGGCCAAACATGTGAGGTGCCGCGACTCGCCGGATCATGGTGCTGGAGCTTGGGAGGAGGAAGAGGAGGGCCGGCGTCCTGTCGAGGCGTCGTCCCCCGCTGTCGAGGAGAACGGCACCCCGAGGCGACATGGCCCCGGATGCCGCAGTTGAAGCACCGCGGGAGCGCCGATGGAGACGATGGACGGTCGAAACGCCTCGGCCCGTCCCGACCCGGCCGCGCCCCCGTCGTCTGTTGCCGTCGATGGTCGACGGCATAAAGTTCTTCTGACGGAAGGGTGGCTGCAGCCACCGCACGCCCAGCCGATGCCCTGTTTGCCTTTCGCCGCTGCTGCAGAAGGTTGGCGTGGAGGAGTCGCGCAGCCTGGAGGGAGGTCATTTCTGCATCCCCTTGTGCGATGACGACGATGTCGAGGTCGTCCGCCAAGAGGAGGATCTTCTCCGCGACCATTGCGTCCACGCCGTCGTCGTCCATGCGGGGAAAGGCTGTTTTTGCCAGCGCCAGAAGACTTGTCCGGAAAGCCAGAGGCGACTCTTTTTCACCCCGCCTGCGATCGTAGAACTGCTGACGGCATTCGGCTGAAGGTCCATAGACCCCGGCCAGCAGCTGTAGCGCCATTGGTAGTGTAGCCCGCTTCTCTTTTGGCGCCGACGTGAGTGCGGCGAGCGCGTCCCCATCGAGGAGCGCCGGCAGCGCGCAAAGGGCCTCCTCGTCGGACCACCGCGCCATCTCCTGATGGGCGAGGAAGCGTCGCCGGAAGCCGCCCCAGTCACCCTCCGCACCGATGAATTCCTTCAGCGGGGGCAGCCTTTGGTGAAGCGCAGCGGTCGATGTGGACTCCCGCAGGTTGCTTTCACCTCCCTTTGGCGGTGCCTCGGCGCGACTGGCCGATGGCATCGCCTGTCGCGGCAGCGATGACGCATCCTTCGGCTGCGATGACGCTGCAGCCCCGGCGACGGCGATGTCGGAGCCGATGTCTAAGCTGGCCACGCCCCGAACAGCCGCGGCGTCCATGGCGGGAAATTCAAATTGTGAAGTCGCTGAAATGGCGGGAAAGTGCTCCGGCCGCCGGTTCTCCTCGCCCTGCGGTGGACCACCAGCCCCCAACCGCGTAATGCCTTCCAGTGTGGCGGCAGCGGCATAAAGTAGCTCCGCCAGCCGTTCGTGAGCCAGTCGTAGTGCATCTGGCTGCGGCCCCTCTCCATGCTGACGTCCCGGTGAGAAGGCGCCAGGCTCCGGCTGCACCCCATCTTGTTGCTCTGTCTCGGGCTCGGCGATCTCCGCGGCGTCCTCCTCTTGTGGTACCCTGGTCCGAGCTGTATGGCGCGTTTCCATTTTTACCACTTCTGACGCCAGATGAAGTACCCGTCGAGGACGCTTGACAACGGAGTTGAGGCACACGTATATTTATTTAACAAGTTGCCAGTACAGGACAGCCCTAGAGGGGGTAGCGGCCCCCTCACCCGTATAACTCAGGGAATACCCCTAGCTATCCATAGCCTATCCCCTGAGTCCTCCACTAAGAGCTAGGGGAGGCTGTCTGGCCCGACACTGGTAATCGGGCTCGGTACCCGGAGTCCCAGAGCACTGGCTCTGGTTCACGGGACCACACCACTGGCTCGAGCCTGATCCCGTGGGGCCCTGATAAGGGCGGCGATCAGGGGGAGTCCAGGGCTCTAGCTACGACGTCTTCCGACTTCTTAGCTTAACTATAACATAACTGACTAAGCCCATATAACGACCCCTTTTTATACCCAACCCTCCTTGAGGGGTGGGGCCCCGGGGGATCGTAACGCCGAACCAGCCCCCCCCCAGGGTGTCTGGCTCGGACGTCGCAGAGGGCATCTCCCTGTGCACACACGTAGCCCCGCCCACTGTGTTTCTTTCCCATAGGCTGCCATGCATAACGGCCCTCTCTCCAACATCCCTACATCAACATTATAAGAAAAAATCAATAGCATACTTATCATTAACACATTAAAAGTGTCAACTGAACCCATGATTCTAACAGAGGCATTGCTTTCATCACCAATGGCAACATCAAACCTACCAACAGCAGTAACATCAAAAGTTGTCTTGATACAAAGCTACATTTACATGCGAAATTCATTCACACTGTATTGTATAAAGTTACATTAAACCGCGGTGATACATTCAAGAGAAGCATTATCAACATCACCGTCAACAGACGCATCGAAGAACATTACCTCCAGCAATCTTTTCAACATCACCGATAAATGCTCAATCCTGTTATCCGTGACGATGTTTGCAAACAGGGTGGATAAAATATTTCGTAGCAAAGAGGAGTTTCCCGTGCATCGTCCGCTGAAATAATCCACGGGTCACGTTACTTAAACCGCTTAACCCCCCCAGGTGTCTCTGTGCTGCTGCGTCACACATACCGCAACAACTTGGCAACCTGGCAACGTTGCACGGCCTCACCGTGAACACCAAACTGAACACGCAGTAAGGTTTTCACAGCCAACATTTACGATTCGCACCTGGCTCGTGAGTTAGGTGACGTAATGATCAAACATCGCATCGCGTTAGGAAAACGTCACTTCGATCGATCATCCATAGCGCGTCGTCAGCGAAGGACCCGTTTGCGTCAAAACGGGTGACCGCTTGCGACAGCAATCGCAAAAAGTGGCCTTGCTATCCTACACCGGAGTCGAGTTATTTGTTTGATCCACGGATCATGGCGGGAGGGGGGGCGACCAAGGGGGCGGCGCCATTTCTTTGAGGGTCGCGGTCCGCTTTGAACGTCGACCGCGAACCGAAGCGCGCAACTTGCTGCATATACCGAAAGAACCAAGACTATGGATTCCTGCAGTCACGCAAGCTTCAAATCAAGATTGCTGCAGGAGTTTGCGCGTCATAGACGGGGCGACGTGTCCACAATGCGACAGCAGTCTCTCCCTCGAGCGAAAGGACTTCTTGGATTTTGATGTTCGACGTGGTCTCAAATGAAGCATCGCGTCCAGTTGCTAAATTTGGCTGTTGACGATTGTTCTTCAAACCTACTGGCGAGCCGAAACAATAATCATCGGCGCGTTATATGCTTGAGCACCTGACGGTGAATTTGTTCGCCTGTTTCAGGTGGTGGAAGGTTCTTAACGGCGCAAACTTGCTAGGATCACGATGTGACCCAAACCAAAAAATCAATTGTGAATTATCAGCAATATGCATTATTTCATTCAGACGCTGTCTCCCCGACAGACCTGGTCTTCACCTGATGACGGCTACTTGCGTTGTGGCCGAAACGTCGTGAGAATTATTTTATTATGTTTTATTTTATTATTTTTATTGTTTCCATTCTACGTGACTTTACCGAAAGAACCAAGAAGATGCATTATTAGTTCCCACATTTGTCACAATCGTTCTGCCAGGCTGCAGGCTTCACGTCGTGTTGCCGCGACGCGGAGTGGAGGTGTGGCGTGGTGCTCCTTGCAGGGTGCAAGCATCCTACCGCTCTCTTTGCACAGCACGAAGAGGAACTCTGCAGCGCAGTGCTTGACGTCGGTGTCGATGTGAGTCATGAGACGCACCAGCTTGTTCCTCAGCGTGTTGCCCACCTCCGGACGATTTGTGACATCTTTCAATGGGGGCAGCACCTAGATTGGCACGAACGAAACGTCAACAAACATCGCCACCTTAGTAGATTGGCATTCTACGCTGGGGACAAACTGTGCGGAAAAACTAAACTATAACTATTTGTTATTTTACCAGGTAAGGCCTACAGTGCAGCTCTTTTTCAGAACCGATCTGGCCACAAATGATAGCTCAACAAAGTGGCTTATCACGAGGAAATACTCTGAACGCACATTTACAAATCTCGAGGGACAAAAAGGAGGACCCGGCGAAAAATCCACACGAGCACAGGGAGAACATGCAAACTCCAAATATGCAGGCGTCGGGGTCGAGATCAGAATGGAACCCACGACCTCCTGCATACCAGGCGAGGTAGTTAACATCTTGCCACCGTGGCGCCCTCTGTGCTGTTGCTGAAGAATGCATAGTAATATTGACAAGCAACAAGGGGAAGGTGTAGTCACAAGCATGCTGGCCCCAGTCACCATCACCTCCACGGCAATGCGTCGTAGACATGCACACCAGGTGCTACTTTCCTTTTTCGCAATTGTATTTCGATCGCGATGAAGTATGTTCACCAGCGAGATAAACCATGCCCATGTGGAACTCTCACAGACAGCAGTGCACCACGCCATGTCGGGAAATCGACTCTGGAAGGTGACATCATCGGACTACTTCCCAGATCCTTATTAAGGGACCACTTAGCCACACTGTGTATGCTGCGCTCTGTCAAATGTTTCGCCATAGATGTTCGTCGTGTGGCAGTCAAATTGAAATGCTTAACTCTCAGATGGTGGTCATTTTGTTGTACAGTCCAGCTCATTGCTCTGTCACCTCTGGGCCACCCAGTCAATTATAATTTTTTTTTACAGAGTGGACATAGAAGCTATCAGGTATCGATACCAAACAACACGGATGTTTATGGTTAGGAATCGGATCTGCGTTGCTGCGATTGTAACAGAGTGCACCCAGGCACATCTACACACACATATAATATCACACGAGCACATGCACACGCAATTTAACGGGGAAACAAAAGTTCAAATGCTCGGATTACTTGTTGATAGTGCAATACAAAGGAATTTATAAATTAAAACTAACAAAAATATTTCTGGTAGCTAACTGCCCCCCCCCCCATCCCCCGCAACCCTCCACAATCTCTTAATTTGACTATCGGGGAGTTAAAATAAAATACTGTATTTTTTAATGTTACCAGGTAAGGCCCACTGAACTATTAGCTCTTTTTCAGAAGTGCCTTGGCTGCAAATGATAGGCGTACGAAGTGACTTCTCGCGTGGAGATTTATAGCAGACAAACACTCTAAACGCGTGTTTCTAAATGTGGAGGGAAAAAAAAAGAGAGGACCCGGAGAAATATCCACGCGGCCACGAGAACAAGCAAACTCCAAATATACAGCAGCAGGCATCGTCAGGGTCGGCATGGAACCCACGACCTCCTGCAAACCAGGCGAGGGAGTGAACATCTCCTAGCCACCGTGATGATGATGAGAGAGAGGCACACGCAAACTCCAAATATACAGCAGCAGGCATCGTCAGGGTCGGCATGGAACCCACGACCTCCTGCAAACCAGGCGAGGGAGTGAACATCTCCTAGCCACCGTGATGATGATGAAAGAGAGGGACACGCAAACTCCAAATATACAGCAGCAGGCATCGTCAGGGTCGGCATGGAACCCACGACCTCCTGCACACCAGGCGAGGGAGTGAACATCTCCTAGCCACCGTGATGATGATGAGAGGGACACGCAAACTCCAAATATACAGCAGCAGGCATCGTCAGGGTCGGCATGCAACCCACGACCTCCTGCACGCCAGGCGAGGGAGTGAACATCTCCTAGCCACCGTGACACTTCGTAATTGCGCCCTTCATAAAAATGCTTCAAGCCAAGGTGGAACGAACCACCACATTTACCACTCGGAAGCTCCACTGAAAACAGAATTGGTCACTCGTAATTGGCTTCGTTTGAAGTAGGATCTCCTGCATTAAGCAGCGTTGACAATGTCTGTACAATGAAGTACATGCATAATGAAAAGCACTGGCATCTGAGCAAATACGGTGTGAGACAGATATTTAAATGCGCAAAGCAAACTGGTAGATATTGTATCAGCACATTTAGGGCCGAGTCTCCATTTAAGATGTTGCAGTGTGCCTGTACAGCCAGCCTTCCGTCAGAATCTGCAATGTGTCATCAAGACATAAGAGCTAATTCTTTGGCTATTGCACATTGTACAAAAAAAATTTGTGCGGCCTCCTGCCAATTTATAATGGCTATGGGTGGTGATGTCGCAGCTTATGAGTGTCTTTCTTCCTGAACCGGAACTGAAGGGTATGGAGGGTGAATCTACTGTTAGCGGTGTGTTTTTTAACAGCTTCCCACCAGAATTCCTCTACAAATCAGAAGTCCGCTCACCCAACCCCAACCCACGAGGGAGAAATTGCATGACCAAGGCCACTGGTCTTTTATCATCGCTTCTAACGACCGCGATGATTCTATGAAACCCAATGTGCAAGCCCTAACTTAAAGAGTTTTTTACGTGACAGCTACTCCAGAATGCGACCTTTGCCTTCTGTACCTATGGACATCACTAACTTGTTGAGTTAGTGATCACAGAACACGATTGGGTGATCAGACCACTCAACAGTTTGCTTTGGAGAAACTCCATAGCCTCAACCGCACAAAAGGTGCTGCAAGTTTTCTTCTATCGTTCTTCCTGGTGGCTTTTGGAAGGCAGCCCACCGTGTGCCACAAGCCGGCACCCTACGAGTATTGTGTCAAATCCTCCCCTGGCATGGGGAAGTGTGCCGAGAGGCCGATGAACATCTCTTCTGCACTGGCAGGTTTACCACGGAGCACATGGGTTTGCCGACCTCTCTATGCTAATGCCCACAGGCCAATCGCGAGTATTGAAAGGCAGGAACACGACAGCATCGCTGCCCCTGGTGATATCATGTTATCTTAGGCATATGATGAAGGATATATGTTTCCTCTGAGAAAGGTATCATAAAAATAAGAACGAATCTTTGTTGATAGCCAGTGGGCTTGCAAAGTACCAGTGGGCTTGCGAAGGTACTTTGCAAGCCCACTGGATATCAACAAAGATTCGTTCATGAAGCCATCCATATATATATAGACACAGACACAATTTCAACCGAGAAGATGGGTACAAACTGAGCAATCATTGGAAAGACGTTATCAACCAGTTTAAGTCATAACTGGCTATGATGTTCCCATCCTCCGATGTTAGTTGTGCTTCACGCCCATTTCACAAGCTTCACACCAAGACAGTCACTTCGCGTGGCGCCGACCCCTCGGTTGCGGCTCTGAGATTTCCCATTAACATGCTAATCTCTCATTAACATGATAATTTTCACCTGGCAGTCCTTTGGTTGGTGGAAAACCAACCACCGGCGGGTTGGCTGCCCACCACTTACATCATCATTGGCTGCTGACATTTGGGCGACGCCCATTTCAAACCCTGAAAATAGTTTACCTTTGGAAGCCAACCCCCCTTTTCCTGAAGACGACCACTTGTGTTGCGATCGAAGCGTCGTAGTTTTTTGCTATTTTTTTTTACTTATCTACGTGACTTTACCGAAAGACCCAAAGAATAAGTGAAATTATCATTTGTCACCCCACGCACGAGGACCAATCATATCATTAGTATATGCGGTATATGCGCTATTTTAAGAGTGCAAGCCTATCGCTAATGCGAGATGTTCCATAAACACGGCCTGCAGTAGTTTTGCAGTAGGGGGAGATGATTGTTACATGTTCCCCCAACCGAGTCATATTGCGGGTAACCTTTCAAACGTATCAAATGCGCACCATGACACTTGCACATATGGCCTACTCACATATGGCCTACACAGATGCAGTGTCCGGGCTGAACAGAGCACGCTCGTCATTGCAGATAAGAAACCCACATGTGAAACTTGTTACCCACAGCACACCGTCGCTTGACATCGCTGTAAACAAGAGGCAATCTCGGTGCGTGCCAAAGTATCAGAGATCAACCCTTTCCCATTCTGAGAAGTCTGCAAGTTGCAGGGTGCGTGTCCCGTTAACCGCCAAATCCTGGAACGCACACGCGGCTAAGTGTTCATTTTATGTAGAGCCACTTAGCGCCGTTGTTTTTAAAGACACTGTACTCACCGGAAAGAACTGTAGTGACACGACCACACTCTATGATAGCTGGCGCCAAACTGTGCCACATGCCCTCCCGCAATGCTTTGTGGGAGCCTCGTACGTGTACGCCATCGGAACGGAACTTTATCGGTATGTCTTCAGGTCGGAAGACGTACCGAGGGCTTCCACAAGGCCATGCGGTGGTAGTGCTTAGATGAGGTTCACAATTTGAATCCAGCAAACCGCCCTGGTTATTTGTTAGCGCTTCTCAGTGGACGTTTAAGATCCCTTGACATCATTATGAAGGCCATTGTTTGCACAAACTACCCGTAAATTACTTGAGTGCAATTACACGTGGTAATCCATAATAGGTTTTATGGGCTGGATCGTGTAAATCTAAATGTGTCGTCAAACCCACCACCACCGACACAGTCAATTAGTAAGGTTTGTCACGGTAAATAAAAGCATGCCAATTTGTTACTAGTTCAGCACACACCTGGTGTGTTGGAGAGTAAACCCACAACATTTATAACTCGAGTACCATGACTGTTCCGCCGGTATTTACAACCAGCCTCATCAGGTGACAGCCAGAGTTGTGGAGAAATCCTCCTGTTTCGGTTTTAGAGGGATAAATGTGATGCCGTCACTTGTAACACCGTCCCTGCTGTGAAACCATTGCAGACCACCGTCTGTGGAACAAAGCGCCTTAGCGAGCACCCTGCGCTATTAGAATGCCGCGAATATCAAATGCACTCAACTATATTTCGATTTAAAGCTTTCGTGACTGCAGGGATTCATCTTCTTGGTTCTTTCGGTAAAGTCACGTAGAAGGGAAGTAACTTCCCTTCTACGTGACTTTACCGAAAGAACCAAGAAGAACACTCAACTATAATCAATCCGATTGTTAACCGGGGAAAAAAACCACACGCACACACACAAGATCCTCACCCGGTTGCGGAGAAACTTGCGCATGTCACTGTGCTGCCGGGAACACTCAGTGAGCAGATTGACAACTGGGGTGAGGTTCTCTTTCAAACGATGGCCCTGGCAGACGGAAATAAAAGGGACACGAAGGCAGCCAGAACATTTGTAGCCATTCATCAGCATACACAAGTGTAAGCAAAATATCCCACAAACACCACCTGTCGCCACAAGTCAGACCACCATTCTCACCAACGAACGGGGTGGTCCAATTATAAACACCACTCACCCGATTTAAAATACACCCTCTTACTTAAATCTTCTCAACATGCGAATGAATACCTTGTAAGCGATGACTTCGTACATCTCACAGAGGCGAGCGTTGAAAGGTTTAATGCGTGTTGAGATAAGTGGCACACTTGGAAGCAGAGGCTTTGAAATTAAATTGTTCTCAATAATTTCCACCTGATTTTTTTGAGGGGTCTCTCGAATGAAGTCATCCTGTATTGTTTATACGTGAAGGAAACTCACACAATCAGTGGTGGAAAGTCAGATTAAGAGTGGCAACTTTCTCATACGACGCTTAAAATGCAACAGAAATCAAGGTGCACTTCGCACATCACACGACAACCTGCACGTTAACAGCGATGAACACAAACGCAATTTATCATCACTGTGATTGAGACATTTTAATTACGAGTACAACCGTGAGAAAGACGCAGCAATTCACGTCGTTTTACATTACTGCTACAGAGAGCTTCCCGTAGTAAGTAAAAAAAATAATTGTGGTAAAATCTGGACACTGATCACTTTTATTATTTAAAGGGGCTCAAAATGTCTCTTTACCCTCACCACTCCCCGGTGTGAGAAACGAGGTTGAGCAGTAATTGCTCCGATCCACGCCATCAGGGCTGAGGAATTATCAGTGCGTACCCCCTTAAGTGTTGTGTTCATTGCACGCGCTGAATAATTAACTCAACTACAGACTGTCCTTGCCTGAACTGTGTCTTCTGCGCTCAGTAAGGGCCTTTATCTCACATCAATTTTGTTTAGCAGTGAGGGACACGAAACCAAATATTTGAAAAATCCCACCCGGAAGTGGCTTCACACAGCCAGACAGGAATCCTACACATTTCTGGAATGGCAGCACAACAGCAAAAAAAAACCGGAATGGTGCTGGTACACAACCTATTACATGTAACCGTTACGGTATTAATTGAATTTAAGTTTACGTATTTTTGTTGCAGCACAGATAACTTTTGTTACTGGAAACTTAAATACAATTTAATATTACGTACATGCACCGTTTTCGATTTCTTATGTAACGTGATTGTTTTCGTTCTAACTTTTATTAGTTTTTTTTGCTAATTGCACCAATGGTTGTACTTAAAAAAATATTTTCAATAAATTGCTCTCGTCATTTTAGTGACCCAGGTTCACTCTTGCAAATGAGACGTATCCTCGTTTTTTTTCAGCACTCTCCAGTTTTAAAATGAAAAACAAAAACCGAGACTTGTTAACACTATTAGCTACGCTCACCCGGTCGAGGCGTTTCTCCATGAAGCCCAGCAGGGCCACCGGCACGTCCATGTTGCGCCCATTGTACTCTGCCGAGCCGGGCCGCACGGGGGGTGACAGCAGCTCCTCCAGCGAAGAGGGTGGCAGGTTCGTCAGGAGGTTCACTGTATGCCTGCGGTCATAATAATAATTTTGTTTCAAAAGTACTTTCTTTAACACGTAGGCTTTCGCGACCAATATTATTCCTAATCAACGTTTTTGGGTTTAGATCGCGTTATTTATAAATGTGTCGTAACCCTCCACCACCCGACACGGCCAATCAGTAAAAAAGTGTCACGTTGACAAAAGACAAATAGTTCACTGCTTTAGCTCACCGGTGTGTTGAAGCGTGAAACCACAACATTTGCAATTTTTAAGTACGACGTTTCGCTGGTAATTGCATCCAGCATCATCGGGCAATTGCTAAAGCAGTGAACTATTTGTCTTTTGTCAACGTGACACTTTTTTACTGATTGGCCATGTCGGGTGGTGGAGGGTTACGACACATTTATAAATAACGCGATCTAAACCCAAAAACGTTGATTATGAGTAACTTCTTTAGAACAACTTTTGTTTTTAGTTTGTTGTCCTTCCCCCGCACCTACGATTCGCACTGTTGGCTACGTACGGTGCGCGAAAGAAGTCCAATGCACATAAATACAAGGAGATGAATTCCCAAGCTGTAACCGTTGCTGCACGACACCAGTGTGAGAATGAGCTCCCTTTCTGCCCAAGGTTCGTGATGCCTTTCTCCTTATTCACTCCGCTTCCTTCCACCCCTGATATATATACATATCTTGAATTGTTCAGCAAACTTGTTGTTGCACGTAACATTCGTTTGTATAAAATGTGCAAAACTGTAAAAAAATCTCCGAGGAAAGGTAAGATTCTTGTAACACGAACGTAACAGTAAACCTTAACGGATACGTTATTTAATTTGTTACCGATAATCAGGTCGTATGGCAAACGCAATCCGTGCATGCACAAGCAGCCACGCATAATCATAGAGACGATGAAGGCAAGATGACGAACCCATGAAATTCCTCCGTCCGGTCCTCCCCATCTGCAGTGGCCATGAGGCAGCGACGAAGAATCGAGACGAGGCCGCAATACTGTGCGGCGTCCTCCTGCAAAATCAGGCACACCAGGGGACAGATCCATACACACACACAAAGACAAAGGTCGCCCATATAGCCTTGACGGACTGTTGGGGCAAGTGCTATTAGCGAGCGCCTATTAAGGCCGGCATGGCACACGGAGGGGTGGGTGGCTAGCACCACGGCCGGTCCACCTTTGTCTCCCCAGGTCCTCATTTGAGGCCGAGTCAACCTAGTGGAGGCCCAGGACCGGTTCAGACAATCGTCACTGGTGTTGGCCATGAGCGGCAATCGAACTGGGCTCACTGGGTTCGCAGCGCTGTGCGCTAACCGCGACACTACACACACACACACCGGGATAATCCACGTCGGGCTGTTAGGGCATACACACACAGAGACGCGCGTGCACTAGTTTGGGCATGCGTGCGCACACACACACACACATTTTTGGGCAACGCATGCAAATGGCAGAATTACCAATGATAAGCACAAGGTCAAGAATCAAAACATGAGCTGCGAGGGTTCTAGAGCAATACACTCAACGTCCACCAAGCCACTGGACGCACACAACCATAATTTGCCACTAAGTGGCAGTGACGTGACTGCAGCACTTTCTCCATGGTAGGGGCACTTTGAGGCCACTTGAGGGCCATTCAAGGCTAGCTTCCAAAAGTTGATGGAAAAGACACGTGTGTTTAAGGGTTTCTGAAACTCGCAGTCAAAGGCTGCCGATGTTCTTTGTCTCCGTCGTAACACCCATTAATACCAAACGACCCCTGACGTACTGAACGGCTTATCTGACCGCTGATGTATGGTAGGTCTATCTCACGTGGTATGGAAGCATGGAAATCTTTTCTTTCCTGAGAAAGCTGCAACACACATCCTCTATTTGCAAGGGCCTGCGGTGCACTTGGACCTGGTATACACGACTGAAGCAGCCACAGAGGTGGCAGTTCAAAGAACTTTCAGTTCCAGCTTGAAATGATAAAGTTCTTATTTTCAGCATTGAACAGCGAGGCAAGAGCAGGCTACTGTGGGCTTCAATTGGGTAGCTGCATGGTTGCCGACTCCCACAATGGAAGAAGATCGGGCACAGATAACAAACAGATCGTTGGTACACAGATGGCATATGCACAAAGACAAAGATCCTCCGTATAGCCTTTCAACAGACTATTGTGGGGCCAGTGCTGTTTGCGAGCCTCTATTAAGGCCGGCACGGCACACGAGGGGGTGGGTGGCCAGCACCACGCTCGGCCGCCTTTGTCTCCCTAGTGGCAATGTTTACCACACACCGCATCAGTAACTCATTTGAGGCCGAGTCGATTGAGGGGAAGCCCTACTCATTTGAGGCTGTGAGCGGGAATCGAACTCAGGTCACCGGATTCGTAGCGCAGGCTGAGTCGACCTAGGGGAGGCCCTACTCATTTGAGGCCATGAGCAGGAATCTAACTCCGGTCACCGGGTTCATAGCACAGCGTGCTAGCCACTACACCACCGCTCCCCACTGGCATATTCACAAATACACACACAACCAGTACGCATGCAAACACCTACAATGGGGCATTGCGGTTTACTCTTTCCAGTTCAGTTCAAATGCGAAACCAGATAGAGGTCAAAATCCACAATTTCATGCATTCCTTAGCTGGAAGTTCACATCAGCATGACTAAAACTGCATGGCCCTGTATTATTTAATAATTGAACACAGACAGTTCTGCATAAAATGACGCAAAAAAAAACCCCCACAGCAGCCAGTAAAAGCTGACATCCAGAAATATTTTAAATGAATTAATAAATAAATAGTCGGGCTTGCGAAGCCACACGGGGTGAATGGCGTGTTCGTGTTTAAGTTGCTAGAGTTCTTATCGTCTTGCGTGCTTAGACTTGTGCTCTGCAATCTGCCACTGACCCAACTACATGGCTCATTTAGGAGAGCCGCCAGGACTTGATATCTGTAAGATATGCGTCGCACTCCACGCATCTCACTCTGTTCAGTCGCCTTTATAAGATGCGCCACTTGTTTTGCAAGGGAATGACGAAGGGTGGTGGTGGTCATGGTCCCAACAAGGTCATAGATTTACAAAAAATGTGACGATGCTGCGTTGGTAATGGCGCACAAAGCACAATTAACAAAACAAGCTCAACGCATTCATCTGTAACACTACCTTCAAAGGACGTCAACTAGATCATAGATTATCCGGTGGTTTCAGGGGGGGAGGGGTGCCGTATTTTTTTTTAAACGTCGGAAAATCGCATCATTATTTAAAGCTTATTTTTGTCGGTGTTGTGCACGTTTTTTGTGTTTTAACTTTGTTTACTAAATGAAATTGGCATAAACAAAGACAAAAATAAATTCCTAAAGTAAAAAGTTAACCGTATTTACTGGACCGTACTTACTACTCCAATAGAAAACTCTGCATGGGGTGATGCGCGCAGCACTTTGCTTTTGTTTCAACGACCACGTGTTTGACGATCGCCGAACTTATGCGAACGCCGAATTACACAACGCACTTTTCGCCGGATCGCACGGTGTATATTTTCTGTTTTCATCCCTGTAGTTGTTAAGTCATGAAAAATGTATGCGCGTGCAGTATTTCACTGTTCAAGTTGTATGTCGTGTATAATGTGCTGTATATATTTGACACCGAAATCAAGCATAGCTTGATTATGTAGACTAGCCGTGTCAAGCCGCACCTTACCATAATAATATAAAAAAGGGGGCCTGTCCCAGCCCATCCCCCCCCCTCAACCAGTATATATACGGTGTAGTATCTCTTGGAATCTCTCATTTACTTGATACAGCAAGCGTGCTGTGACGGTTCCACCTGAAGACGGAAACTTGTGTTGCCTCCGAAACGTCGTGATTTTTATTTAAATTTTATTTAACTTTCATTAATTTTAATTTTTTACCTACGTGACTTTTCCAGAAAAAAAAACCTAAGAATATGAATCCTTGCAGTCACGAAAGCTTCAAATCTAGAATCAAGCATAGCTACTTTTTTTGTCACGCACATGGTGCCGAACGCTGGACTGGTGTACAGCCTTTGGAGCGGTTCTGCCGGATATGATCGGGACCGCCAGATAATCGCGCGCCGGATAATCGATGATCAACTGTATATTTCCTTTGATGACAGTGTTTGTAATTTTCAAGGGCAGGATATCAAGGTGCAGCCGAGGTATGAAGACTATTCAGTACGAGGGCATGGAAGTGGCTTCGCTGCTTTTTGCAGATGACGTTGTACTCTTTTGCCTCGTCAATTTGCGTGCACTTGAACGGTTTGATGCCGAGTGTTAAGCGGCTGGGATGAGGATCAGCACCTTCAAATCTGAGGTCAAGGTTCATTTCCGTGAGATGGTGGATTGTTTTCTCAGGGTGAGGGGGGAACAGCTGCCCTTAGTGGAGGAGTCTCTTTCGCGAGTGATGGTAAGTGGGAACGGGAGATCGGCTGGCGGATCGGTGTGGCGTACGCAGTCTTGAGTGCACCGTACCGTTCCGTGGTAGTAAAGCGAGAGCTAAGTTCTCAAACAAAGCTCACAGTTTACAGGTCGATCTAAATTCGCACCGTCAGCTATGATCATGAGCTTTGGGTAATGACCGAAAGGATGAGATCGCAGGTACAAGGGGCCGAAATGAGGTTTTCTCTGCAGAGTTGCCGGTCTCACTCTCCTTGATCGGGTGAGGAGCTCAGTAATCCGGAAGAGCCTCAGAGTCGAGCCGCTGCTCTTCCGGATCGAGAGGAGCCAGTTGAGGTGGTTCGGGCACCTGGCAAGGACGGCCCCCCGGTAGACTCCCCCTGGAACTCTACTGGGCAGCACGTACCCACTGGGCGAAGACCCCAGGGCCGGCCCAGGACACGCTGGGGGGATGACGTCGCTCGGCTGGCCTGGAACGCCTGGGAATTCCCCAAGAAGAGCTAGAGTGTGTATAGTAGTGCATAGTGTAGTGTAGTAGTGTATAGTGTAGTATAATGTAGTAGTGTGTAGTGTAGTAGTGTAGAGTAATGTACAGTAGTGTATAGCGAAGTGTATAGTAGTGTAGTAGTGTATAGTGTATAATAGTGTATAATGTAGTGTATAGTGTAGTGTATAGTGTAGTGTATAGCGTAGTAGTGTATAGTGTAGTTGTGCTGGACTCTGTCGCCAGGGAAAGCGAGGTCTGGACCGCCACTACTCAACATGCTGCTGCCGCCGCGACCCTCACCAGGACAAGCGGATTGAGAAACGGACGAACAAACGCGCGGCAGTGTTATTGACCAATGCGTTGCACTTTTTGTTACATGCGAGAGGTAGGCGGCCGGGCAGCTGTGGGATCGTTCACCCCATCCACATTCACTCATTGGGGAGCGCAGAGACTGTTGGCCAATCATTCACCTCAAAGCCACCATTCCTGCACATCAGAACACAGCTTCGTTTTTGTCTTCTACCGTTCATGCGATTTCTCAAATAACTACCGTCTAAGAAAATGTTTGTTCGTGTGAATGTCATCAATTTAAAACAGGAGCCTGTTGGATATGTTTTTAGATTTCCCATTCAGACGTAGAATACCCCGCTAAACAGTTATGTTTTCATCAGTTTTTTTTTATACATCTGAACCCATCTGTTTTGGGAGTTTCAAGCTGTTGTGCGTGCCAGGTTTGGTGATATCGTTTGTTGCGTACATGTTGACGGCTGGTTTGAATTTAGTTCAAATACTGAACCTTGTATACAAAATCTGCAAGTGAAGTGGCAATCGTGAAGCGCTCTCAGAAACAACTCAAACACAGGGTACACACAAGTCACTGTCTGCCCTCTGCTGGACAAAACAGTCTTCTTCTTTTGGATTGGCTGATGTATACGCAGAGAAATAACTACAATTTCACATCCTGGTAGTCAAGCAGGATAACCACATCCGGAGCAGCGGAGTGTATCGCTGCGATGTCTCATTCCTATTTGTGGATTGGGCATTGGATGACCAGAGTCGCACATTGGAGGGTTTTTAATTGTCCATTTGTGCATCAGGTAGTCGCATCAGCCATGGTTTGTACGGATGTGGTTTAGGGTGGACCATGAGCTTCGTGGAAGATACACTATCTAACACAATTTTTGTTCCTGCGTAGTAAGTGTTATTTCCTAATTGCTTATGCCTAAAAAGTATAGAAAATGGCTATTATTCCCCACAAACTTTGCTTTTGTGAAAAGGACAGTGATATTTTGAAATTGACCTATTTTCAATGAGAAAACGGGTGAATGTCTTTTCGTTCACATCAAGTCATAAAAAAACATATGAATAAAAATTCAAATGTATTTTATACCAAAGTAATACAAAAATTACTACAAAAGATTTAGAAGTGAGTAGTTTTTCGAGATTTACAATTATACCGTAAATCACTTTCACGAATCAGACCCCAAATGTAGTCTCCCATCATGTTCTCGTTATACTGTCCCTGGTAGCAGCATTCAAAGTCCAGTATATCCTGGTGGAAGCGCTCGCCTTGCTCCTCCGAGTACGCTCCCATGTAATCCTTGAATTTATCAAGATGAGCATCAAGGATTTGGACTTTGAGGGACATCCTACAGCCCATTGTGCCATAGTTATTCACCAGTCTCAACCAGCTCCACATAGTTTTCGACCTTGTGATCGCCCAGGAAGCCACGAACCACTGCGACAAAGCTGTTGCAAGCCGCTTTCTCCTTACGAGTGAGCTTCTTGGGGAATTCATTGCACTCCAGGATCTTCTTTATCTGTGGTCCAACGAAGCCACCGGCTTTGACCTTTGCCTCAGAGAGCTTAGGGAAGAAGTCTTGAAGGCTGCCGAATCCTTATCTACAGCTCTGACAAATTTTTTTATGAGGCCCAATTTGATGTGCAGTGGTGGCATCAGCACCTTCCGGGGGACGACCAGTGACTCCCACTTGACGTTGTTCCTCCCCACAGAGAACTCGGTCCGCTGTGGCCAGTCACATCAGGAATGCCACCATTTTGAAGTCTCCGATGAACTCCCAGCCACAATCATCATAGTTCAAGGAGTCCAGCAAGGTCTTGATGCTGTTGTAATACTCTATGAGGGGCACTGAGTGAGACAGGGGAAGAGGTGGGTACTTGTTACCATTATGGAGCAGCACGGCTTTGAGGCTCCTGGATGAGCTGTCAATGAAGAGGCGCCACTCATTCTGGTTACAGGCGATTCCGATTGCCTCGAACAGACTGGTCACATTGTGGCAGAAGCAGAGTCCATCTTGATGGGTGAAGAAGCTGAAAAAAGGTTGGTGACGGTTCCTCTGATATGCGACTTGTACACTTTTATCCAACAAGTTCCACTGATTGAGCCTAGATGTCAAAAGCTCAGCACTGGACTTGGTGAGACCAAGATCTCTGATCAAGTCGTTGATGTCTTTTTGGTTGGGGTAGTATGGGTTTCTCTCCTCAGCTCCACCTCTAAAATGGTCATCTGGATCTACGTCTTCCTCGCTCTCTGACTTTCTGCTCACTTCTAAAGACGGCTGCTCTCTCTTCGGAGGAGTGGGTACGGAGAGCTCATGGCAGTGTGGAACCAGGGCGATGGATGAAGGTCCGGATACGTGATAGCAGGTGCATTCTTGCAAGTCCAACGTTTGGAAGGGTCCACCATGCAGAAGTAGCAGTTGGCTTGAGTGGTCAGTGGGTTCACGCCAAATTCCTGGGATAGCAAACTTCATGGCTCTCTTTTCCACTACAAAAATACATTTATTTCCCCCATGACTAATCTGTAAGAGATTCTCGCAACATTTTTCAGAAATATTTTTAAAATAACATTGAAAATTGTAAAACATCAAAAAAAATTTTTTTTTTACAATTTTCTAAATTTTATAACATAAAATTCCGAGCAACAATTGTCCATCTTACCTTCCAGAGTTTTTTGTATTGCTCACAGGTGAAATGAGGTGCCCAGGGTTTGTCTTGATCCCCGATAGGCATGCCGAAATATGCCTTGTAGGCCTCACACATCTGAGCAGATGCTTAAACAGAGTACTTTTTCGCTATTGTCTTGATAAATTGGCCGCAGACATAGCAAAATGCGTCTACCGGATGCTTGCAGCCTCTTGATGCCATCTCAGAAAAATGTAGATATGTATCCACTTAGGCAGCTGGAACTAAACTGTACTGGTGGGCTTAAGGCCTCTGTATTTATACTACTATTTCTTTTACTGGAAAGTTCTATAATGTTCGAGAAGTTACTCCAAGTTTACTCAGCACTGAATCTATCTGGAATGTTCTGGAAAATAGGTACATTTCAAAATATCAGTCCTGGTCACAAAAGCAAACATTTGAGGGGAATAATAGCCATTTTCTGTACTTTTGAGGCATGAGCAATTAGGAAATAAAACTTACTACCCAGAAACAAGAAAAAATATTGTTACACAGTGTTATAAACCAGGGATGACAAAATAGCCAAATCTGCAAAGCAATCTAAATAATAAGCATTTTTTTCTGGGAGATCTCCTCATAGATCACTCCGCCACTCTCAACAAATGCGGTGTCATTTGAAAGGTTATGATATGAACCACGTTTGATTCCAAAGAACACAGGATGAGATGTTACTATCCTTTGTGCAAGCACTTCCAAGAGTTCATGAACAGTGAGCCTGGTGAAATTTGGGGAGCGCATCGTCAGTAGTGAACCTTTGGGTCCTAGGGTGTTTCGGCCTTTCATACTATACACCCTCCCCAAAGACGGCCAGCGACAGGGTGATCAATCCTACGCTTGCGTCCCATTCCCAATTAGTCATAGGAGTTGCCTTGTTGTTGATAGCCAACATCCCATGGGACTATGCATGGCAGGGGCGTCCTCCTCCCTGAGTCAAGCATTGTTGACTGCATACCTCCTGGCCCTCTCACTTTGGGGCCCAGCTGGGGTCTTTCCTCTTCATCCAGAGCCACTGACTGCTGCCTTCTGCCGCCTCCGATACAGCTCTGATTGCCGAACGCTGGCTCTGGCCCTTAATTCCCAGGTCTCTAAGCAGTCTGGTTGTAGATGTTGCCACAAAACCTCTGCAGCCCACCTCCACTGGTCGGACTTCTGTGTTCCAGCCATGATGCCGTGCTTCGGCAGCTAGATCGGCATAGCGCAGATGTTTTCGCTCGGAATAAATTGATACGTTGAGTCTGGACTTCACATCAGAAAGCACGGCTGGCTCAATGCCAAAGCAAAATCTTCACTCAAGCTACTATCAGTCAAAACGAATTGTATCCGTAATTCAACTAAACTTGTATATCCTCCAAAGTTGGGTGGCTTTCCCAGAGAGTAAGATTTCGGGATAATAGGATAACAGCAGCTCTACCGAAATGGATTAGTCATTAAGATAATGGACGTAACGTTCCATAGATAACCGAAAGATGGCAGTAACAAGAGGCAGGGTGACAGGACCAAACGTATAATCTACAATAATTTCAGGGTAGAATTCATAACCCACCGATATAGGCGGGGTCAAGTGCCCGACCAAGTGACACACATAAGAGGTCTGAACCTGACCACGTACGGACAAAGGTGGCACCCACTCACCTCATCTACCTTTCTGCGGCTGCAGTCGTAGGTGACGTTGAAGAGAATCTTGAGAATCTCCATGGCCCTCTCCACGTCTTGCCGGGACAGGTGGCAGTTAGTCCCGTACAACGGCGCGCCCTCTTCATCCCCGAGCCCAACCTCGTCGCTTCCTTCTCTGTCATCGCTGCAAGCTGCGGCCGGAGAGCTCGCCGACGCAGAGCAGGGCGGCGGCGTTTGCGGGAGCAGCGCCGCCGTCTCGTGGATATCGCGCAGGCTCATCCCGGTGCCGTTGCCCACGGCCGTCGCCGATGACGACGACGACGACGACGACGAGGCGGAGGAAGGGCAGGAGTTGCTCAGCGGGGGCGACAGGGTGCAGGGCTCGGGCGGGTCGAGCGAGGGCGGCGCCAGCATGGACTCGAGGGCCTCGGTGAGGAGGGCGAGGCCGCGCAGCTCGCGAGAGACGCGCGCTCGCACGCCCAGCCGCAGCGCCGTGATCAGGAAGAGGAGGCGCAGGTCGAAGAACCTGCGAGCCCCCCGACGGCGAGAGTCACGCAAATCATCGAAACACAAATTAAGCACGGGCACACAAGTACAAAAACTACTTTGTATCAGCAAACCCAATGTATTTATTAACATTGTAACTTGTTTTACGATTGAAAACCAAAGGGGTGCTAGGTTGCAGTAAAGGTTAGGAATCACTGCCCTAGAGCAAGTGGATTAATAATTTCCATCCGCAATGCTACCCCCCGGTACGGGTATGGAGTGTTACCCCCCATCTCTGGGTACTCTGGTTTTCTCTCATATGTATACACACTCGTTAAGGGAACTGGCCAAACGACATCCCAACACGGGGGCCCCAGTGCTTGGGCAAACGTTCGCACCATTTCTAACTGCATTCCCACTTTTCCGTTACAAATTTGTGTCAATGTTTTGTTTTCATTTTATTCTCAGCGTAGGTAAATTAGCAGCTGTGACGATGTCCTCGCTGTCTAAAACATTGTACTCCCTCTTTTTCAGAGCCAAATATTTTCAACCGAAGATCTGTCGACACCACTCATAAGCAAATACACCTGTGACACTTTCCACAAGGCGAGACTTGTAAGCTTGAAAAAGCAAGGTCTAACAGTAACACAGAGTTGATAAGATTTAAAGCTTTCGTGACTGCAGGGATTCCTATTCTTGGATCTTTCGGTAAAGTCACGTCTTTCCGACAGCTCTGTTCTTCACCTGAAGATGGCTGCTTGTGTTGCGGCCGAAACGTCGTGAGAATAGTTTATTTGTATTATTTTATTACTTCCCTTCTACGTGACTTTACCGAAAGATCCAAGAATAGGGTTGATAAGCTCTTGTGAACTGCATTAGTGCTAAAGCAGCATGCTTCTATGCACTTGAGCATTAATGAGGCTGAGGTGTTTCATATACCCATTCCAGGCCAAATCTCTCAACAAAATGTGTTTTCAACCAATGCATTAGTACATGTGAGAGGAAACCAGAGCACCCGGGGAAAACATACAGGTGGAACAGATGTAGTTTAACACGGAGGCCTTCACAAATCTGGCTGTCGCCTGATGAAACTCGTTGTAATTACTGGCGAAATGTCGTACTCAAGACTGTAAATGTTGTGGATTTACTCTCCGACACACCGGTGTGCTCTACTAGTAACGCATTAGCATGTTCTGTTTACGTGACAAACCTTACTAATTGGCTGTCGGGTGGTGGCGGGGGGTTTAACGACACATTTATATTTATGCGATCTATCCCAAAAAAAATCTCTATGATGGAATAGACGTAGATGAATGCATGTGTGTAAACCACCAACCCTTGCTGCGTCTAGTGCTGAATTACGGATGAGTGCCACCACCGCCTGGTAAAGGGAGTCCTCAATATTAATAAATTTGGTGAAATTCAAAATTTATTGTACAGTAGTTTATGTTCTGTGGTAATATAAAACAAATGACAAATCATAAAACCAGGGAGTCACGTACATGCACATATTTGCAATTTTTTTACTGTGTTTGGTTAAAAAAAAATACACCGACGTCGTCATTGTTAGCATTGTGGAACTTTTATCAGTTGCAGCCTTGACGTGACCATATCCCTGCACGCGTGCCAATGTGTTGTGCAATGTTAGCTGAAAAAAAAAGGCACCATATACTAAAAAAAAATGTATGGCTTGGCAGTACTTATAATCGCCATACGTTCTCACGAGGCCGTACAGAGACACCTTCTCTATAAAGCCACCCCACCTCGACTGTCCTTCTATGGGGCACCACGGTGCCTCGGAGATGTTAACTACCTCGCATGGTATACAGGAGGTCGTGGGTTCGATCCCGACTGACGACGCCTGCTGAAAATTTGGAGTTTTGCATCTCTCTCTCCCCCCTTGGTCACGTGGTTTTTTCCCTCCACATTTGTTATCATGCATTTTAGAATGTATGACTGCTCTACATTTCCACGTGATAAGCCGCTTCATTGAACGTTCATTAGTGATGGCCAGGTAGCTTCTGAAAAAAAGAGCTACTATATACCTCAGTAGTGGACGTTACCTGGTAAAATAAAATACAAATGTAGAGGGAGTTGAGTTTCAATAATGCAATGGCAACTCTGCCTTGAACTCATCTGTAGATTGCACTGGCAAGCAGAGATACTTCTGTAACACCAGTTGACAATATTTTTATTCGCTACTTCTTGTCATTCTATCGTTTTCTTCTATCTCCCCCCACCACCAACCCCCACAAACGCAGAGGGCCGAACTATTGACAGAGAGGTCCTCAGCATTTGTGCGAATAAACAAAGCTTGCATATATTACGTGAAGTAAACATTTAGTGTGCATAAAGGACCACATGAAGGCTGATTATGAGAAACATTTGACGAGAGAGTGGAAGTTGTTTTTGTGGCGTCATATTTCGGGATATGGTGTCATGTTACCCATGCATCTTGCTTCACCCCTGTATCCAGTCAGATAGCAAACTGGGATGTAACAAGAAGGCATGAACCGATGATACAACAAACTGTCAAGATTCGGTCAAGTAATCGATTATCTTTTAGTTTTTTTTTTCTCCGTCTTACGTTTGGTCTCGTTCACTCTATTGCCGTCGATGTAATTTTAGGATTAAAAAAATATAACTTTCATTTATTGTTATCAATAACTTTCATGTAGCACGTCATCTCATACAGGCAATATTTGGTTATTATAACAGTAGTCGTTAACCGGGAAACCGTTACCTGCCTATTGTCAACGTCAGCCTGTAACTTCCTCACTTACTAGCTTACTGTAGAGCAGCAAGATATGTTCAGAATCAGAATCCGATGAGCCATGAAGCTCTTTTTAAATCTTTTATATTAAGTTCACTTGCTTGCTTGCTTGCGCGCTTACGACCGTGCAAATCTTTCGGTCGTTTTTTAACCCACTTCCCGTGATCCAATCGAGCTGACATTTTGCACACAGACTTGTTGTGTGTGACAATTTATTTTCGTGAAAATTTTTTTCCTAAATTTTCCATTTTTATGAAAAAAAAATTCATATTTTATTTAAAATACCAATGTGATAAAAATGAAACTCTTACTCAAGAAAAACAGAAATGAATAATAAAATAAAACCGATGCCACCCATATAAAGGATTTATAGTGAAAAACTTAGTTTTTACGGGTACATTTTTTCACAGATGTTCAGAGTGCAAGCTCCAGTGCGTGCGTGCGTTCTTACCGGACGTCATGCGTGAGCGCAGCAGACATCTTCAGCCGGCTGACAATTCCGGACTCGAGACGCAGCTCCTCTGAGTAGCGCTGTGCAGCGGGGCTGTTGAACACCACGTTACACAGGCACTTCAGCGCCTCCGTCATGGTCTCTGTGTCTGGTAGCTGAAACCAAGGATGGGAGACAGAAGTTGCCCGGATCCGAAAGTAACCATCGTCGTCATCATCATCGTCGTCATCACTGCGATAAGACATCATCAGTCACCATCATCGGGCATTGTTTGAGACCTGTGTCTAATCATATTTTTTTGGCTTTTTTTTCAAATTTGGGCATCGCCCGATGATGCTGGATGTAATAACCAGCGAAACGTCGTACTCAAATTGTAAATGTTGTGGATTTATTCTCCAACACACGGGTGGGCTGAAGCAGTAACTAATTGGCGTTTTGCTTACGTGACAAATCCCTTACTGTTTGGCTGTCGGGTGGTGGAGGGTTACGACACATTTAAACTTACGCGATCTAGGCCAAAAACCTTTACAATGAATAATATTGGTCGCGAAAGCCTACGTGTGAAACCGTTCTTTTCTTCGTTACATTTTTAGGGAGTGTCGTGCGAGGCGGAGGGAGTCACCACCTCGCACACGGACGCGGTGGGAGAGTACGTGAGGCCCGCGTGGCGCGCCAGCACACCAAGGCCTTGCTCGGTGGCGAGCGACCCCAGCGCCGTCTTGTCGCGCGACAGCACGCGCAGGCTCTCGAGGGCGCTTGCTTGGCAAGCCGGCTGAACGTCTCGGCGTAGGAAGCAGAGCACCGCCTCACACAACGTCTACTCACGCACACAACAAAGAATCCCCCACCTGTTATAGCCATACAGACTCTTGGGGCAAGGTCTGCGAGAGAGGACGTATTAAGGCCAGCAAGGCGCACGGGGTCATGTGGCAAAAAACCACGAGCAGTCACCTTTTGTAGTGATAGTAATGCTATACTGTACTACAAAAACATTAATGTAAAAAATTACAGCACCATATTTAACTAGGCTGGAATATATTAACATTCATTACTTGTTGTTCGAGACCTGTGTCAAATAATATTTTTTTGGCTTTTTTTCAAATTTGGAATTTAAAAGAATATCACCTTTAAGTGTGAAATGTAAATTGTAAGTATGCAAAGCACTCACAACTGCAACAAATTATTGGCATTATGTAAACGTGTACATTGTTTTAGTGTATCCTCACCTCCCGCAAATCTTTGTCACTTTCAGAAAACATGAACGTCTGTGAATGCTGGAAGGAGAGAAAAAAACCAAAGTCAATAAATGAGCTGTTGTGACGTTCATGAGTAAAGTTGATTTCCCTTGCTCCACCGCCACGGTGGATGTGTTCTTGGGCGTTCCCTCAATTTACTGCCACTGTGCCATCGGTCTCTACTGGACATCTGTGAAAAAGAGCTTTATAGCTTATTATATTCCTCCAGTATAAGTATAAATACATATTCTGATTCTGTCTTGACCGCTGACCATGATACTCTCGTGCAAATTTTCCTGTGCCCAAGCCCACTTGCTTTCCTTGAAATTCAAGGCGAGGGTCTCTAACTCACGTTTGTGCTCCAATCCATGTGTTCCTCTCAGTCTCTCGGTGTTATTCCAACAATTGCACTCGCCCGAACTTCTTTGCGCACTTGTCAGATTTTAGTCCATTTTGTGTTAACGGCCATGAACGTGACGCATATATCGCAGCAGGTAATATACATCGATTTCAAATGCTCTTCTTTGAACACACCACTGCTCTCTTCAACCTATTCATTTCATCAGTTTGATCCCAGTCCTGCTTCAATGACTGCCCTATGAATTCCAGGTTATAGGTGTATTCCAGTTCTGTCCCTCCAAAAAACATCAATTGGTTAGCTAACTTGTTGTACAATATTTTTTATTTTGTACCTATTTATCTTGAGCCCCCACTATGCAACCTTCTGAATTAAGTTGTTCAATCATCTAGTTTAGAACATTCGCATTGCATGCTATAATACATACATCAACAAATCAAAGATGTAAATTTTTTCTCCATTTATATATACACACACATTTACCTATGACAATATTCAGAAAATATCATACCATGTCACTGTCAATAACCCCTCGGTGTCTTTGTCCAATTCCCTTTAAAAAATGTATATTCATTACATTCTTCATAAAATCCCAGTGTAGCAGTTCCATTTTAGAAAGAAAAAAAATGGTTTCCATATATTTCATTATTCTTGACATTTTGTTATATTGTAAGGTGATGTTAAAGATGAACATGGTGAATAACTTTGATTTGTGCAGAGTTGTTTAACATTCATAAAAAAAAACATCATTATTAACCACAGCTTTCTCAGACAAACGTGGCATTTAAATGTACCACGTGACATTCTCGTGCTCCTGTAGCATGAAGCACAAGACAAACGGTACAATTTTATTGCATGCAACTTTGTCTCATTAAATATATATTTTTAATCACCGGCTGTGAACATGGTGCAATCCATGTGCCCTGCACACTATTTGCAGATCCACTCCAGGAAGGGATGCTCCCTGCAACAGCATGGCACCCAGCTGCATGACCCAAGCCACACCCAGAGCCTGTGCTGCCACCCAGAAAGCCCTTACGCAAGCCACAAGACTGCACAAAACATGGCAGCACACGGCTGTTGGCAGCTGTTAAAATAATTGTCTTGCAAGCGGCAAGGCCCTACCGTTTAAGACACCAGCAAATTTTGAGTCGTTGTGCCGAGGCACATTAAGTGCAAAACAAAGCTGCGCCGAAAAACATCGTTACAATCAATTGGTAGCCCAAACCCTACCATGAACCCTTTGTTGCCCATGCATAGCTATGGCGCGCCCATTAATGCACACAATACCAGGCCCTATGGGCTCCAAAACCTACTGTGATTGGCGGCAGAAGCAGCAGCAGTAATGCCCAGAGCAGAATTTTCTCTGCAGCTCTAGCATCGAGGTCACTGAGTGAAGGAACATGGGGATTGTCTTTCTCTAGAGTACTTGACATTACACAGGTGGCACTGTACAATCCCCTTAGCAGTTAAACACAAGCATTAATAAGCCGCCCCATGCGGCTTGCAGTGTGGCCATCTAAATATATCCCTGAATTTAACTGCAATATTATGCCCACAGCACAGCCTGGAACAATGCATGCAGAAGATGTTAACCATTATACAATAGTAACAGCTAGTTATTCATTCATCATAAGACAATCACTCCACCGCTGGATGAAGGCCTCCCCAAGCCGTCACCAATTTCTCTCACAATAAAACCCTTATCAACCTCATACCTGCACAGGAGATTTCATCGTTCCATCTCCTCTTGGGTGATAGTCCTCTCCCCCCTATACTCATGCCTTCAATCATTCCTTCTAACACCCTTACTGCCCAATGATCTCAAAACCAAGTCCTCCTCTTTTTGGTCTCTCGATGTAGTTCATTGTGCACTTTTCAGTTTATTTCATACCATTTTTTATTAATCATGCTTGTGGTATTTTTTATTGCCGAGCTATTATATTTGGCTATCCAACACAGAAATGAATCCTGAACATGTATTGCAATATCCTTGGTTCTTTCGGTAAAGACACGTAGAAGGGAAATAATACAATAATAAAAATAAAACAATTACTTTTTAACGACTTTTCGACTGCAACACAAGCAATCATCATCAGGTGTGAAAACCATATGAATCCCTGCAGTCACGAAAGCTTTACATCGAAATGTATTGCAATATTATAACAATGCACAATACATTCATTTTAACATCTTACTATTGAGGCATGCTAGACACAAGACATTCAACAGAATTAATCTCAAACTATCACAATCTGCATTTGCATTATACATAGTTTAACTGCCCCAATCATTACTGTATCACCATAATTGCGCTATTAAAGCACCAAGTAGTGAATAATGTTATCAAGACCACGTTTCAAATACAATTGCAACTATTTGGTTTGCCGAGGCACACACCTGTAACACAGCTCTTAGGAGGCAATCGGTTGATTAATCACTAAGGACATATGCAAAACGCCTACACACAGGCTGGGTCACTTAGTGGCCAGTAGTGGCAGTAAAGAAAGTGCACATGGACCCAAATGGTCTTCCGTGTGGTTTCTCTGGTGCTCAGGTTACTATCTCCCACGTGGCAAAACCAGTTATTTTAAGATTGATTTGCCAATCATTGTATCTGGCTTCATAGGAAGGGTTTAATCAAAGTATGTTACGATAACCCGGTTACGTAACATAGTTCTTATATCATTTTTAGAACTTTTGTATGCATGTTACTTGCATAGTATTCGTATTGCTGCACAATAATATAGGTGGGTATTGTATTTTGCATCTAGCATTTGTATGCGTTTGTATATAGCGTGCTGTTATTTATAATGTGCATTTACAAGTTATATTTGTCTATGTTGTCGGTGGCTCAGAGGACAGAGCACCGAACCACGTGTGTCGTAAGACTCTCCGCCACCCGACCGAGCACAATCGCCACACATCACGCAACGGCGAACGTCGGGGTGGGCGCAGAGGGCGTGGGTAGCCTTCAATCCAGCTCATTAACCTTTACTGCAGCCTCGTACTGTTAACTAACACATAGGGGATAATTGTTTTTTTACCCTTCTATCTGGCAACAAAACTGACACCTTTTCTACAAGGAGTCATGTTTACATAGACCACAATACCTGCAGTCATAATGCAAACAAAAAACATAACTCTGATAATGTATGCACTGTCCTTGAAGTTGATTGGTCCACACCCGAGACAGCTTTCCTTAGAGCCTAGTCTCACATGGTGTTGGACCAGATGACGCCAAAAGGCGCACAACTCAAAGACAATGCACCATCAGAGTATGAGAGCTCGGGGTAAGCATTTACACCATTGGAACCTCATTTAGCCAGTAAAAATATAATAATTGGTTTTTACTCTTCTATCTGGCAACAAAACTGACACCTTTTTTTACAAGGAGTCATGTTTACATAGACCACAATACCTGCAGTCATAATGCATTATGACTGTAGTCTATGTAAACATTAAAAAGGTGTCAGTTTTGTTGCCAGATAGAAGGGTAAAAAAACAATCATCGTATTTTTTTTACTGGCAAATGAGGTTCCAACGAAACACACAGGGGGGGTTTGACGAAACGAAGTTGTAACTTACCTCGCCCTTGCCAAATTTGTGCGTTTCGATCATTTACCTTCTAGCAGCAAGCAACAACAAAAACCCGGCCACGTCTCGCACGCACAGGGAGTAAGCGTGCACACACACCCCCCCCCCAGGATGAGAAGAACCACTGGGATAGATAGAGACAACGGTGGACGCTCAGTGAGGGAGGGATGAATGAGTGTGGAGAGGGAAAGTCGCTGCTGCTGCTGCTGCTGCCTCACCACGCAATTGAATCCCTGCAGCGCCTTGAGCACCGCGTTCTGATCGCCGCCTTTAACCACCTCCACCACCGCATCAAGCTCCGAAGCTTGCATTGTTGTCTTCGCTGCTGCTGCTAATCGATAACGATGTTGTTGATGTTGTTGTTTTATTAAGTGCGTGTTGTTGTTAACTGAGGCGCGCGAAGCGGGCGCGAAATCACCGCGGCGCCGCCTTCTCTTGCAGTCTATTTACACCGGAAGTGAACCCAGCAGCCACTTCCGGTTCGGAGCTGACTCCTCCCACAACCGCCGCTGCCGCTGCCCCCCCCCCCCCAATGCTGCGATGACCCGGAAATAGTTCCAGAAATTATTCAAATGAGTCTGAGTTGAAGGGGGTGGGGGTGATGGGGGATAGAGGGGAGGGGTGATGGGGGAGAGAGGGGAAGGGTGATGGGGGAGAGGGGGGGGGGGTGTTGGGGGAGAGAGGGGAGGGGTGATGGGGGATAGAGGGGAGGGGTGATGGGGGAGAGGGGGGAGGGGTGATGGGGGATAGATGGGAGGGGTGTTGGGGGATAGAGGGGAGGGGTGATGGGGGATAGAGGGGAGGGGTGATGGGGGAGAGGGGGGGGTGATGGGGGAGAGAGGGGAGGGGTGTTGGGGGATAGAGGGGAGGGGTGTTGGGGGAGAGAGGGGAGGGGTGATGGGGGAGAGGGGGGAGGGGTGATGGGGGATAGATGGGAGGGGTGTTGGGGGATAGAGGGGAGGGGTGATGGGAGAGAGAGGGGAGGGGTGTTGGGGGAGAGATGGGAGGGGTGATGGGGGAGAGGGGAGAGAGGGGAGGGGTGTTGGGGGAGAGAGGGGAGGGGTGATGGGGGAGAGGGGGGAGGGGTGATGGGGGATAGAGGGGAGGGGTGATGGGGGAGAGGGGGGAGGGGTGATGGGGGATAGAGGGGAGGGGTGTTGGGGGAGAGAGGGGAGGGGTGATGGGGGAGAGAGGGGAGGGGTGTTGGGATAGAGGGGAGGGGTGATGGGGGAGAGAGGGGAGGGGTGATGGGGGATAGAGGGGAGGGGTGATGGGGGAGAGAGGGGAGGGGTGTTGGGGGAGAGAGGGGAGGGGTGATGGGGGATAGAGGGGAGGGGTGTTGGGAGAGAGGGGAGGGGTGTTGGGGGAGAGAGGGGAGGGGTGATGGGGGATAGAGGGGAGGGGTGTTGGGATAGAGGGGAGGGGTGATGGGGGAGAGGGGGGAGGGGTGATGGGGGAGAGAGGGGAGGGGTGTTGGGGGAGAGAGGGGGGGGGTGATGGGGGAGAGAGGGGGGGGGGTGTTGGGGGAGAGAGGGGGGGGGGTGTTGGGGGAGAGAGGGGGGGGGGGGTGATGGGGGATAGAGGGGAGGGGTGATGGGGGAGAGAGGGGGGGGGGTGTTGGGGGAGAGAAGGGAGGGGTGTTGGGGGAGAGAGGGGGGGGGGTGATGGGGGATAGAGGGGAGGGGTGATGGGGGATAGAGGGGAGGGGTGTTGGGGGAGAGAGGTGAGGGGTGTTGGGGGAGAGAGGGGGGGGGGTGTTGGGGGAGAGAGGGGGGGGGTGATGGGGGATAGAGGGGAGGGGTGTTGGGGGAGAGAGGGGGGGGGTGTTGGGGGATAGAGGGGAGGGGTGTTGGGGGAGAGAGGGGAGGGGTGTTGGGGGATGGGGTGTTGGGGGAGAGGGGGGACGGGTGTTGGGGGATGGGGGGAGGGGTGTTGGGGGAGAGGGGGGAGGGGTGTTGGGGGATGGGGGGAGGGGTGTTGGGGGAGAGAGGGGAGGGGTGATGGGGGATGGGGGGAGGGGTGATGGGGGAGAGGGGGGAGGGGTGTTGGGGGAGAGAGGGGAGGGGTGTTGGGGGATGGGGGGAGGGGTGATGGGGGAGAGGGGGGAGGGGTGTTGGGGGATGGGGGGAGGGGTGTTGGGGGAGAGGGGGGAGGGGTGTTGGGGGAGAGAGGGGAGGGGTGTTGGGGGATGGGGGGAGGGGTGTTGGGGGAGAGAGGGGAGGGGTGATGGGGGATAGAGGGGAGGGGTGATGGGGATAGAGGGGAGGGGTGTTGGGGGATAGGGGGGAGGGGTGTTGGGGGATAGGGGGGAGGGGTGTTGGGGGATAGGGGGGAGGGTGTTGGGGGATAGGGGGGAGGGGTGTTGGGGGATAGGGGAGAGGGGTGTTGGGGGATAGGGGGGAGGGGTGTTGGGGGATAGGGGGGAGGGTGTTGGGGGATAGAGGGGAGGGGTGTTGGGGGAGAGAGGGGAGGGGTGTTGGGGGAGAGAGGGGAGGGGTGATGGGGGATAGAGGGGAGGGGTGTTGGGGGTTAGGGGGGAGGGGTGATGGCCGAAAAATTATTCACGAGAAACGAAACATTCAACTTACAAACTTTCAGAGATACGAACAAACGTGTCCATATGTCCAGTTGTCTGTTCAGACCGAGAGTCGTAAGTCCAACCGCCGCGCAATAGACGGTGGTGGTGGCATCTACATCTGGAGAACATGAAGAACCAGTGTCATCTACATCTACAGAACGTGAAGAACCAGTGCCATCTAGATCTGCAGAATGTGAAGAACCAGTGATATATACATCTCCAGAACGTGAAGAACCAGTGATATCTACATCTACAGAACGTGAAGAACCAGTGGCATCTACATCTGCAGAATGTGAAGAACCAGTGACATTTACATCTCCAGAACGTGAAGAACCAGTGACATCTACAGAACATGAAGAACCAGTGGCATCTACATCTCCAGAACGTGAAGAACCAGTGGCATCTACATCTGCAGAACGTGAAGAACCAGTGGCATCTACAGAACATGAAGAACCAGTGGCATCTACATCTGGAGAACTTGAAGAACCAGTGGCATCTACATCTGGAGAACTTGAAGAACCAGTGGCATCCACATCTGCAGAACGTGAAGAACCTGCGGCATCTACATCTGCAGAACGTGAAGAACCAGTGGCATCTACATCTGCAGAACGTGAAGAACCAGTGGCATCTACATCTTCAGAACGTGAAGAACCAGTGGCATCAACATCTGCAGAACTTGAAGAACCAGTGGCATCTACATCTACAGAACGTGAAGAACCAGTGATATCTACATCTGCAGTACGTGAAGAACCAGTGACATTTACATCTCCAGAACGTGAAGAACCAGTGGCATCAACATCTGCAGAACTTGAAGAACCAGTGGCATCTACATCTACAGAACGTGAAGAACCAGTGATATCTACATCTGCAGTACGTGAAGAACCAGTGACATTTACATCTCCAGAACGTGAAGAACCAGTGGCATCTGCATCTGCAGAACGTGAAGAACCAGTGGCATCAACATCTGCAGAACGTGAAGAACCAGTGACATTTACATCTCCAGAACGTGAAGAACCAGTGGCATCTACATCTCCAGAACGTGAAGAACCAGTGGCATCTACATCTGCAGAATGTGAAGAACCAGTGGCATCTACATCCGCAGAACGTGAAGAACCAGTGGCATCTACAGGAGATTATACAACTTTTAAAGCCATTCCCCGTGTTTAGTGCACATGCCGTACAACATGTTTGGAATCGACGGGAGTAAAGTTGGACTTACGAACAAATCGACTTACGAACAAACCTCTTGGAACCTCACTCGTTCGTAAGTAGAAAAGTGTCTGTACACACGTACGTACACACACGTGGGGCAGTTTGTTCCACTGGGTGGCGCTAGTATGCCATGGCTGATGTTAGCAGCAAGTACATTTCACCACGCTGAAATGAAAGTGTTTTAAATTTACACTTCTCTCGTGTACACGTGCACAATTAAGGCAGTTCCTTAATTCCAACTCCACATGTGAACACCGTCGTTCGAATTTGTATTTATCAATTTACGTAATTTTGCACATTGTGACCAAAAATTCTCAAACGAGATTTACAAATATCACCAAGGTGCCCCCCTTGGAGGACCATTGTTATAACTAGACGTTTTTTTAAAAATCGGTGTTTTTTCTTTCATTACCGGTAACTGCATGAAGACTGCTTAAACCGATGACCCATTCGAGCAGTAAACATTGATTTTAACCGAGAAGCTACGTTTAGCTATCGCGGCGGCCATGGCCTGGCAGCCACGTGATTGCCATTCTGTCGCGGACGTGAACGGTTCCAATCGAGCGGCCGCCCCTGATTAATTACTGCGGTGTGTTACAACCGTAAACACATTGTCCTGCGGAGGGAGCTGGTAGGAACGTTGGGTTGCTCGGTCAATGGCCAGGGTCAACGGCGGCGTGGCGTATTCCGCAAATATGGCCGACTGTGAGGGCGGGCACAAGCCGGCGTGAGTAGGTTAAACGTTGAGTTTTATAAGGGCACCACGGGGTGACCAGCCCCTCCCAACCCAGCCCCACCCAGCCCTACCCTCCCCACCCAGCCCCTCCCCACCCAGCCTCTCCCTGCACGACGAACGGACAGACACAATAATCCCCTGTGGGCTGGTGTAACCAGGAGGTTCCTACCAGTATAATACTACGTGTCGTCTTGTTTCACTCACGGTGGAAGTTAAAGATCCCCTGGCGTCAATCGTGCCCCCCCTCCCCCCACCGTGTTCGTAGATGAATGTCCCAGGTTACTCTTGTGGTGTAATGGTTGGATCTAGAAACTTGCGTTCAGAGTTATTTGGCTGCTCTAAATTTCCACGCGATGATAAGCCCCTTCGTTGAGCTATGATGTGTGGCCAGATCACTTCTAAAAAAGATCTAATAGTTCGGTGGACCTTACCTGGTAAAAAAAATAATAAAGTTGAGTTTAGTTAAGAAATATTGTTTCCGAACACACGTGCACATTATGCAGCGCATTACACGTTGACGAATAGTCCTGTATATGTATTACTGCTAACTCCTTCCTGTTAACATGAAGCCAATTGGGCTCCTCGCGACTGGATAAACGCATGCGCGCTGTCCAATCCCCTGATCGAATCGTCGTCGCCGGGCACTTTCACTCAGTCGGTCCGATCATCCAATCTGATCTTGATTTATTTGATAATGATCATTCACAATTTGAAAATGGACCAATTGTGCATCCCGACGTAATGCCCCTTTGATCGTATTTGCTTTGTTGAGATGTTGCAAAAAATCTGAGTAAAATTTACGTGAACTGTATCAAGTCACTCAACATTCTCTAACAAAATGTAAAAGCTGCACCCTTCACGAACTCACCACCCGACTCAACCTCAGCTCTTCATTCAACTTGCCACGAGATTAATCCTCAAATTATCCTCGGTCAGCTCACCCACCAGCCCACAAACCCGCAAGCTCACCCCCAGGTGCAGTGACATAGAATCGGTCACGTAGCAGCATAGCGCTGGCTGCTGGCAGGGAAGGGGATCTGCAACTTACAGCATTCCTGACTGACAGCAGGTCACGTGATAGACCAGAGAGGGATCTCGGGGAAAGGTCACGGAAGGGTCACATCGAGAACCCGCTGGTAGGTTCCAGAAGGGGGGCGGGGCCAGGGGCGGAGCCAGGCCACGCTGACAGTATAAGAGGGGCCCCGGGAGGGGAGCTCGGGGCTGTCGTTTGGAGTGGGAATCCCGTCGTGCTGACGCTGCTGGAGTCTTCGCCGCCTTCAACGTCTTCACCATCTCGGCGTCGCCAGTCAGGCAGCCTGCCAACTGTCCTGACTGGGAGCCGTAGTTAGCAAGTGTGAACTGATAATTGTTTTTTTACCCTTCTATCTGGCAACAAAACTGACACCTTTTTAACAAGGAGTCATGTTTGCATAGACCACAATACCTGCAGTCATAATGCAAACAAAAAACATAACTCTGATAATGTATGCACTGTCCTTGAAGTTGATTGGTCCACACCCGAGACAGCTTTCCTTAGAGCCTAGTCTCACATGGTGTTGGACCAGATGACGCCAAAAGGCGTACAACTCAAAGACAATGCACCGTCAGAGTATGAGAGCTCGGGGTAAGCCTTTACACTATGGGAACCTCATTTGCCAGTAAAAATATGATAATTGGTTTTTTACCCTTCTATCTGGCAACAAAACTGACACCTTTTTTACAAGGAGTCATGATTGCATTGACCACAATACCTGCAGTCATAATGCAAACAAAAACATAACTCTGATAATGTATGCACTGTCCTTGAAGTTGATTGGTCCACACCCGAGACAGCTTTCCTTAGAGCCTAGTCTCACATGGTGTTGGACCAGATGACGCCAAAAGGCGCACAACTCAAAGACAATGCACCGTCAGAGTATGAGAGCTCGGGGTAAGCATTTACACTATTGTGTGAACTGTTAAGTGTGAACTGTTAAGGCTGTTAATAAAGAGCGCCTCCTATTCTTAGTCAGTCACTACACAGGTTCTATGGCCGAGGCACTGCAACTATGCGGTTGTGTTCAAAACTCGACGGTCAAATCAGGTCCATCGTTTTCTCTCTCTTTGGGTGGAGAAGACGAGTGGCACTGTCGGAGATCAAGTGGGCATTCTTTCGGAGACTGATTACCTTCACAGCGATGTGCACTTGCGCCATCAGCCCAGGAATGACCAACAGAGATCATCTTCACCCTCACTTTGTTTGAGCACGGAGACACTTTGACTCTGACCTAAACGATTATATCAATAAAGTGCCAATTCCTTTCGGGATGCAGAGAGGACGCACGACCGAAACATTTTAATGTAACTACGCATTAAAAATAATGCGCAGAAGCATAGCGCTTTTATCCCAATGCGATTCATTTTGAAATAAAAAATACATCTTCTTGGTTCTTTCGGTAAAGTCACGTAGAAGGGAAGTAATAAAATAATAAAAATAAAACATAAAATAATTCTCACGACGTTTCGGCCACAACACAAGCAGCCGTCCTCAGGTGAAGACCAGGTCTGTCGAGGCGACAGCGTCTAAATGAAACACCACCACGCTTGGAGTGTATATTTAAGCTGGGTTGGAAAGGGGGGGAATAAGTATAACCCGTAAAAACAAAGTTTTTCACTATAAATCCTTTATATGCGTGGCGGCTAGAGTCCTCTCGTCCTCTGGCTTGAGATGGCTGCCACCTATGGGTCAGATGATTGTCTGCCAGTATTAAGCAATTGGTAATTAAATATTTAATTTGTTTTCCCTAAACAGTGTAAAATTTTGGAAAAACATTTTCACGAACATTAATTGTCTCGCACAACGAGTCTGTGTGCAAAATGTCGAGCTCGATTGGATCACGGGAAGTGGGTTAAAAAACGACCGAAAGATTTGCACGGTCGTAAGCAAGCAAGCAAGCACGCAAGCAAGCAAGCAAGCGAACTTAATATAAAGGATTTAAAACTACATGGCAATATGCTTTTAAATGGCTCGTCAGGGCATCCCAGGAACGATGCTCATCACGCCGATCCCATTTCTCCAACACCACTCAAGCACGGAGTTTACTCCCACAATGTGTTATTGGGGTTTTTTTTTTGTTGCAGAAGTTTACTAAATTCCCCATTGCGTTGTCGTCAGGATATTGTTTTGGATTTATTTTTGGGACAACATCCTGGCAGACGGGTCTTTAAAATAAAAAACGCATTTAATGAAAAAAAAAGAAAACCGAATCGGTGCATGTAGGTTTATTTTTATTCAATATGAAAAAAATCAAAGCACTTCTAAAGTATTGTCAAATGGCAAAAAACAACGTTTAACAAACCAACGATGTACACGACTTTAATGGACACGGAACTTTTTTTTTCTAGCCATTTTTTTTTGGTTTGAAATTCTACGAAATCCAACTTTTGATTACTCACGGTCATAAACGAATTTAGTGACTTTTGTGTAAAACGGTAAATTTATCATTTTAGCGACATTCTAATAATAGTTGGTCACGTACAACTTCACTGGACTAATCTCTATTTTGTGCCAACAGTACCTACGTTTATAGAAGTTATGCATTTACGTAGCTACTCATTACTCAGAATAGACTGTATACCAGGTCATTTCAAATAATGGTAACGTTTTCTCTGTAATCAGGATTACACGCTGCATACACATGCTTATGGATCATCTTGTCCATGCCGTGAAAACATGGTACGCAGAGTAACGTTTCTTGTCACCAGGCTTTAAACCACACGTGTTGTTTACATCGACTTCCAGGGTACACGTTGGGCTGACACGTGCTTGACATCTTCACCTATCTGTGGGCTTTTCAATGGGCACACGCAACACTTGTTGAGATATGGCTCGTTTTACGGAGCCGAATGTAAGATGCGATGGATGGGCTTGGTCTTCCCGTGTGTGCTCATTTAAAGTGTGTACATTTCCATTCTGTCACCCCTGTCTTTTCTCCCCATTCTTAAGAATTTTGGGGCTTTAATTCTGATCGTCTAACTTTTATTTTTTTTTACCACCTGTGAATCTTCCGCCGGAAAATGCCACACGTGTAACGCGCAGCATTCCAGGGTGCCACTTCCTAAAACACGCAGATCTACGGTGTGCCCAAGTACCATGCAATGGCAATTCACGGTAGCCTTGATAAAGCGGCTCCATCGGGCGATCAGTCTGAAAACACTTTTCAATGTCCAGTCCACAGTAGGGGAAGGGGGGGGGGTTACAAACAATAGTGTGCAATTCACAACGGTAAAATTCCACTCCACCTATAATGCAACTGATGGAAAACCAAATTAGTAAATTGGTGGATTAAGAGGGGGTCCATGGGATGTGTGATAATACGTCATGCATGCTTGTGAAAGAATGGGAGAATTACTGGGTTTTAAAGTGAGCGCAAGATGCACGGGCACGCGTGTCTTGCGAATGTGCAAAGACGTCGAAAGGCAAGCCAAGCCCAGAGTAGTGAGACATCTTTTTGGGTGCGTTTGAAATACTTCGCTAATTTTAAGGCCAGCAATTCTGTATTCTTGGATTATATGTGAAGTTAATTTAATCTATTACAATTAGCATACATTCATTCAACATGATGTGGCTCTATTACTTAGTACAGGTCGATATATTTTAATGTTTTGTATGAGCTATTACCATTAATGCCTTCTTATACTAAACAACATGACTCCCTCTGCAGCCTCAATGTCACAAGCAGTTTCACAGATGACATAAATTATAAAGCGAAGTCACTCATCAAAAACTCTGCTGATGGAAATCCTGAACTTTACATAAGAAACCCCACTGTACAATTGTAAAAAAGAAAAACGTGGTAAAAATCACAAGTAAAATATTCAAACTAAATTAAAATAGTTTCAGGCTGAAAATACTCCACCACGAATGAATTACCGAACGTTGCCTTATAAGCAAAGCGTACCTAATAAACCGACAATCTGGACGATTGCCAATTTTTCTGAGCAGAAAAAGAGAGTTGGCGGAAGATTATAATTGACATTAAGAGACCGACTAACTTTTTTTTTCATTTAAATTCAAAATATATTGTAAAAAAAAACCGACAGTTTTCACATTCTCCAAAATGAGCAAACAGGTCACCCAAAAAGTTCCACGAGCAAATACCGTAACATTTCCAAAATTGTCCATTAAAAAAACGAAAAAAAAATGTCTAATATACCTAAAACGGCGATGTAAGTGCATTCTGGAAGATACATTAATGAAATTGGCATGTAAACAACTCATATTTGTGAAAGCAGATGGGGGGGGGTGGCAGGGCAGGGCAGGGGGGGGTCTCACAAAGCATCGCAAAGTTCACACCACCCAAGCAGAGGAGTCTAATCGAGACGACGTTTCTCTCCTTGTGGTCCTCGATGGGGGGAGTCGATTGGATCTTTCGAGCGTTGGTCAAAAAGCCATCGGCTAGAAAGGGTGCATCGTTTCTGGCCCGACACTCTCACAAAGTGTCTACAGGCCAACCAACGCCAAGTTTAATATATATACTGTACACTTGTACATATACACATGCAATCATATATTCTATAACGCAATAAAAATAGAATAATGCCAACGGATTTTGCTTAAGCAAGCGGATATATTTACAACGGCATGCATACCCAGAATTAAAATATTGGGATTTGTTTGACGAGTGGCTATTTATTTGTTACAACTTCTCATCTCGTTAAGCTATTACCTGGCTGTAAAAGTCATGCAAGTCGAGAGGAAGTGCTTGTCTACCCCGAACGCGGTGGCTAGGAGATGTTAACTACCTCGCCTGGTATGCAGGTGGTCGTGGGATCGATGCCGACCCTGACGCCTGCTGTATATTTGGAGTTTGCGTGTCTCTATCATCATCATCACGGTGGCTAGGAGATGTTAATTACCTCGCCTGGTATGCAGGTGGTCATGGGATCGATGCCGACCCTGACGCCTGCTGCTGTATATTTGGAGTTTGCGTGTCTCTATCATCATCATCATCACCACGGTGGCTAGGAGATGTTAACTACCTCGCCTGGTTTGCAGGTGGTCGTGGGATCGATGCCGACCCTGACGCCTGCTGTATATTTGGAGTTTGCGTGTCTCTATCATCATAATCATCATCACCACGGTGGCTAGATGTTAACTACCTCGCCTGGTATGCAGGTGGTCGTGGGATCGATGCCGACCCTGACGCCTGCTGTATATTTGGAGTTTGCGTGTCTCTATCATCATCATCACGGTGGCTAGGAGATGTTAATTACCTCGCCTGGTATGCAGTTGGTCATGGGATCGATGCCGACCCTGACGCCTGCTGCTGTATATTTGGAGTTTGCGTGTCTCTATCATCATCATCACCACGGTGGCTAGGAGATGTTAACTACCTCGCCTGGTTTGCAGGTGGTCGTGGGATCGATGCCGACCCTGACGCCTGCTGTATATTTGGAGTTTGCGTGTCTCTATCATCATCATCACCACGGTGGCTAGGAGATGTTAACTACCTCGCCTGGTATGCAGGTTGTCGTGGGTCGATGCCGACTCTGACGCCTGCTGTATATTTGGAGTTTGCGTGTCTCTATCATAATCATCATCACCACGGTGGCTAGGAGATGTTAACTACCTGGCCTGGTATGCAGGTGGTCGTGGGATCGATGACGATCCTGACGCCTGCTGTATATTTGGAGTTTGCCTGTCTCTATCATCATCACCACGGTGGCTAGGAGATGTTAACTACCTCGCCTGGTATGCAGGTGGTCGTGGGATCGATGCCGACCCTGACGCCTGCTGTATATTTGGAGTTTGCGTGTCTCTATCATCATCACCACGGTGGCTAGGAGATGTTAACTACCTCGCCTGATATGCATGTGGTCGTGAGATCGATGGACAGAAACGCCTGCTGTATATTTGGAGTTTGCGTGTCTCTATCATCATCACCACGGTGGCTAGGAGATGTTAACTACCTCGCCTGGTATGCAGGTGGTCGTGGGATCGATGACGATCCTGACGCCTGCTGTATATTTGGAGTTTGCGTGTCTCTATCATCATCACCACGGTGGCTAGGAGATGTTAACTACCTCGCCTGATATGCATGTGGTCGTGAGATCGATGGACAGAAACGCCTGCTGTATATTTGGAGTTTGCGTGTCTCTATCATCATCACCACGGTGGCTAGGAGATGTTAACTACCTCGCCTGGTATGCAGGTGGTCATGGGATCGATGACGATCCTGACGCCTGCTGTATATTTGGAGTTTGCGTGTCTCTATCATCATCACCACGGTGGCTAGGAGATGTTAACTACCTCGCCTGGTATGCAGGTGGTCGTGGGATCGATGACGATCCTGACGCCTGCTGTATATTTGGAGTTTGCCTGTCTCTATCATCATCACCACAGTGGCTAGGAGATGTTAACTACCTCGCCTGATATGCATGTGGTCGTGAGATCGATGGACAGAAACGCCTGCTGTATATTTGGAGTTTGCGTGTCTCTATCATCATCACCACGGTGGCTAGGAGATGTTAACTACCTCGCCTGGTATGCAGGTGGTCGTGGGATCGATGACGATCCTGACGCCTGCTGTATATTTGGAGTTTGCGTGTCTCTATCATCATCACCACGGTGGCTAGGGGATGTTAACTACCTCGCCTGGTATGCAGGTGGTCGTGGGATCAATGACGATCCTGACGCCTGCTGTATATTTGGAGTTTGCGTGTCTCTATCATCATCACCACGGTGGCTAGGAGATGTTAACTACCTCGCCTGATATGCATGTGGTCGTGAGATCGATGGACAGAAACGCCTGCTGTATATTTGGAGTTTGCGTGTCTCTATCATCATCACCACGGTGGCTAGGAGATGTTAACTACCTCGCCTGGTATGCAGGTGGTCGTGGGATCGATGACGATCCTGACGCCTGCTGTATATTTGGAGTTTGCGTGTCTCTATCATCATCACCACGGTGGCTAGGAGATGTTAACTACCTCGCCTGATATGCATGTGGTCGTGAGATCGATGGACAGAAACGCCTGCTGTATATTTGGAGTTTGCGTGTCTCTATCATCATCACCACGGTGGCTAGGAGATGTTAACTACCTCGCCTGGTATGCAGGTGGTCGTGGGATCGATGACGATCCTGACGCCTGCTGTATATTTGGAGTTTGCGTGTCTCTATCATCATCACCACGGTGGCTAGGAGATGTTAACTACCTCGCCTGGTATGCAGGTGGTCGTGGGATCGATGACGATCCTGACGCCTGCTGTATATTTGGAGTTTGCGTGTCTCTATCATCATCACCACGGTGGCTAGGAGATGTTAACTACCTCGCCTGGTATGCAGGTGGTCGTGGGATCGATGACGATCCTGACGCCTGCTGTATATTTGGAGTTTGCGTGTCTCTATCATCATCACCACGGTGGCTAGGAGATGTTAACTACCTCGCCTGATATGCATGTGGTCGTGAGATCGATGGACAGAAATGCCTGCTGTATATTTGGAGTTTGCGTGTCTCTATCATCATCACCACGGTGGCTAGGAGATGTTAACTACCTCGCCTGGTATGCAGGTGGTCGTGGGATCGATGACGATCCTGACGCCTGCTGTATATTTGGAGTTTGCCTGTCTCTATCATCATCACCACGGTGGCTAGGAGATGTTAACTACCTCGCCTGATATGCATGTGGTCGTGAGATCGATGGACAGAAACGCCTGCTGTATATTTGGAGTTTGCGTGTCTCTCTCTCTCTACCCGCGGTCGCGTGGATTTTTCTCCGGGTCCCCCCGTCTTTTCCCTCAACATTTAGAAACAACATCACGCGTCTAGAGTATGCGGCTGCTAGAACTTTCCACACGATAAGCAAATTCGTTGAGCTATCATTTGTGATGGTCAGGTCGCTTCTGAAAAAGATGTGCATAACTCAATGGGCATTACCTGGTCAACAAAAGCACAGTTCGGTTTAGTTTTACAGTGCCCATATTAAAATATGGCATCACTCTGATCTCCATCACGCCTTCGTTACTCCAGGGAGCAGTGTGAAACACCGCAGGTTTGGTCCTTTGGGGCTGTGACACGACAACTGGCCCAAGTCGTGAGCTGCTACTGGCTTTAAACATGTCCCCAAGGTGGCTCTGCTGGAAAAGGTTATATACATCTGTCACCGACACTTCTGTCTTAGGAGCAAGAAGCCTAGGTCATTAAGGTAATACAGCTCAAAGGAGTCTCTCCTGGTGAAAGCAAAGGACAATGGTGATAACAATGCAGACCACTGTTGCGGTATATACATCAAAATCACTCCCGTCTGCTGGTGATGCTGTAAATGACACTCGTTGAGGTATGTGACCCGTGGATTAGACAATTTAAAGAATCAAAAGCTGCCCGTTGCTTGAACACAAGGCAATGTATGTATCTATAAGTGTGTTGAACTTTGTTCGCATCGTATGTAGCCAACCGTGCCAATCGGAGGTGCGGGGGAAGACAACTAACTAAAGACAAAAAGCATAGACTTAAAGCTTTCGTGACTGCAGGAATTCATATTCTTTGGTCTTTTGGTAAAGTCACGTAGATAGAAAGAAAATTTTAAAAAATCTCCTGATGACGACTGCTTGTGTTGCGATCGAAACGTCGTGATATTTTTATGATTTTGTATTAAATTTTCATTTTTATTATTTTATTGTTATTATTTTTTCTTCTATCTACGTGACTTTACCGAAAGACCCAAAGAACACAAAAAGCAGTTCTAAAGAAATGAGTTTTCAATCTCGATTTAAAAGTGCATAGCTCCAGTGCGTTTGATGGAACTTATTTAAGGATAGTCCAACATCAATGTCCATCGTAAGCGTAAAACATTTTACGCTAGGGGAGTAACGGCTGGATGAAGTCTAATCTGCACTTAAAAAAGAAAAATCACTAAAATGTTGATTAGGTGACTTTCAATTCAAAACCGTTGGTGAATAAAGTAATCCGACTGAGCGTCGCGCGAGACATTCCAATTTCTCCGAGGCAACACCGCAAGACGACATTTTCACCACGGCAAAGGAGATTTCGGTCATCGACATTTGGAAATTCCTCACCGTCGCCACCGGCAGATATAGACCCAGAGCGCTGGGCAGGTCAATGAACTGCTGAGATTTCTGGGTTATGATTCGAGGATCCGTTTCGCACGCAGTCGGCTTTCGCGACCAATATCATCCATAACACAGGTTTTTGGGGGTTAGATCGCGTAAATATGTGTCGTTAAACCCGCCACCACCCGACACAGCCAACTAGTAAGGGTTGTCACGTAAACAGAACGTGCTAATTCGTCACTAGTACAGCACACCGGTGTGTTGGAGAGCCAAGCCACAACATTTACAATCTGAGTATGACGTTTCGCCAGTAATTACAATGAGCTTCATCAGGCCACAGCCAGATATAGTTGTAATTAGTTGAAATCTCACTGCTGTAACTTGACATGTCTCGGTTACTTTTTTTTCTGTCTGTGTGATTCGCTTGCCTTTCCTATACTTTGCACTCCTATCGTTTTTTTTGCATCGTTTCTTGTTGTAACTCTCTGACCCCGTGCCCGTACTGGACATCTCGGTATGAATAAAGATTCTGATAATAATAAAAAAGGCTAGCCTGCCCCCCCCGCAACTTGCTGCCGCTGGCAGCGACCGCTAGCCCCGTGTTTCACGTTTAGCTGAGCGGCACGCATCTCATGTGCACAGAGGTCGCAAACGGGTTTTAATTCCTTACCCGTATCCGGCCGCACCAGGGTCGCAAACGGGTACTCGTACCCTACCCGATACCCGGCTACCCGTACCCGGCCGGGTACGGGTAGGGTACGAGTATCGGGTACCCGATTGCGACCTCTGGGATGAAGCCATGTTGCAGGCGCGGGTGGATTTATTCTAGGAAATTGAATTGTGAGAAGAGACAAGACGTTGGGAAATGAGTGACAAACGGTTACTCACCAGTGACTCACTGCCTACCCGTACCCGGCCGCACCAGGGTTGCAAACGGGTAGCCGGGTATCGGGTAGGGTACGGGTATCGGGTACCCGGTTGCGACCTCTGCACGTGCAGCATTGAGGCTGCGACAGAGCCACCGTGCAGCGCGCTCGACCACGGCTTTCCTTCGTTCACGGAAGCACAAGCTTCACGATCACGGGGTGGACTGGCAACGTCGATATACGGCCACGCGTATTTCGCGGCTGCGTGTCGTACAAGATGAGCGCTTTTCCGGAACCGGAACCACCACCACCGCACCCCCCCCCCCCCCCCCCGAACGTTTCCACTTAAATACCAGAAACAGTTTTGAACGATGATGTAGAAGATCGTGATGAAAGTGACAGTTCCCCTCCAAGGGATGTCACGATTCTTTTTTGGCAATTGAATACAAGTGCTATTTTTAAAACGCACAAAAGCGGGTGATTTTTTTTTTATTAACCCAACAGCGGGAATGATTTACGCATCGATAAAAAACCCCATCGGTTATTAATGAAATTAGCCTAAGTTAAAGAGACGAACAGGCAAAATAAATTTCCATAGTACGCTTGTTTTTTAAATCCTTTATATTAAGTTTGCTTGCTTGCTTGCTTACGACCGTGCAAATCTTTCGGTCGTTTTTTAACCCACTTCCCGTGATCCAATCGAGCTGACATTTTGCACACAGACTCGTTGTGCGTGACAATGTATTTTCGTGAAAATTTTTTCCAAAATTTTACACTCGTAGGTGGCAGCCATCTCAAGCCAGAGGACGAGAGGACTCTATCCGCCACGCATATAAATGATTTATAGTGAAAAACTTTGATTTTACGGGTTAATTTTTTTTATCTCTGTCGCAACAAGGGAATTGATCGCCGGGCCTTCAATCCTCCGCACCGGTGCGTGCGTGCATGCTTAAAGAACAAATAAATAATATTCAACGTCTGCAGCCCCCGCAATGCGGATCACGCAACTCTGACCCTTTTTACGTACATACACATCGTGACTCACCGTAAAAAAAAACGTGATTATATATTGTAAAACAAAAAAATTGACTCACGTTGTACAATTATTCAGAAACGTTTGATGTTACAGCCACACCATCACCACCAACCAACGCTTATCGTACCTCGCTGCATGTGCGACAATGGACTAAATATATATACAACCGAAATAAACATTTGACAAGTTTAAAAGCGTCATCGCTTAAAAACAATGTTTTTGAAAACAATTGTTTACTCCTATGGTATATATAGATATCTTTTGTAAATGTAAACAATTAAAAGCAAACAATAAAAAACACGTTTTGTATATACACAAGTCAGATTATAATCATTATAAATCAAGTCGTGGTCAGTGAAACCAACTCCCATAATATTTGTAAACTAAAGACGTTCATTTCTTTCTTTCTTTTCTTGCTATATATATTTAAAAAAACATTGAAAATAACAGGAAGCCTTAACTGCGTGATATGCCTCAGTAAAACGCAGGTGACCTCAAAATAGTGCGAACGATTCTGTTGTCCACAACGCCAGAGAGGAGAGAAATATGTCCACGGCTTTTGGGTGCGATATGGATCGGCGTCGCTGTCGGCGTGGATATGGTCGAGGTAACGCTGCCTTTTTGTGTTTAGTTTATTGTCCTTCCCCCGTACCTCCAATTAGCACGGCTGGCTACGTACGGTGCGAAAGAAGTTCAACGTACGTACAGGGCGAAGGGTCTGTCACGTGCAAAACTGGCTTTCCTTGCTATCAAGTTCTCCCCATGAACACCTCATACTCGGCAGATGCTTCCTGATTTTCATAAGAAAAAAAAATCACGTGAAAAATCGAGCCTAGATACAGCATTTCGTGCTAGTAGTTTCAGATTTCACAATATTATTGTTGATAACGGTTTTCTTTTTTGGGGGGGTTAGGTCACGTAAATGTAAAAGTGTCGTACACCCACCTCCACCCGCCACAGCCAATCCGTAAGGTTTGTCACGTGACCAAAACGAGACAATTGGTTACCGATTTAAAGCTTTCGTGACTGCAGGGATTCATATTCTTGGTTCTTTCGGTAAAGTCACGTAGAAGGGAAATAATAAAATAATACAAATATTAAACAATAAAATTCTCACAACGCTTCGACTGCAACACAAGCAATCATCAGCAGGTGTGAAATCCACAGCAAGAAATTTTGAAATAAAAACGCCACTTTTTGCAAAATTTCTTGCTGTGGATTTCACACCTGATGATGATTGCTTGTGTTGCAGTCGAAGCGTCGTGAGAATTTTATTGTTTTATATTTTTATTTTCTTATTTCCCTTCTACGTGACTTTACCGAAAGAACCATGCAGGGGCGGTTTCTTCATTAGGGCGATTGGGCGACGCACCACCAATGTCATTCAACCACAGAGTCACGCTAGCCGTCACTGTCAGCCTCTGGAAATAGTCCAATCAGCGTCATGTCACGTTCTGTGGAGTACCGCCTCTTTTGGGGCGATTTCACTACGGCTGAGAATCGCCCCGAGTGGCCCCATAGACTTACATTCAAAGATGTTTTTTTCGAACGGGGGCGCTCCAATGCATTCTCTATGGCTTCCGGGAGGGCATGCACTAACGTGCTTACGTCATCATACGTGCTAACATCATCCTACGTAAGCACGTTTCATCCAACAATATAATTTATCGCTACCTAGTGGAATCTTTAATAAAATAAACTTGAGTGGTTTGTTTTAATAGTGAGTATATAAACAAACAAGATGTATTGTAAGAGTCACTTTATTTTTCATTAATATTAAAGAAGTGAAGTTGCCTTTACATGCTTAAGCTGTTAATTTATTCATTGCATGGGTGGACCTTATCCTTATCAATCATCCAGACATTTGCCCCCCCTGAGAGATTTTGCAGGAGCCGCCACTGGAACCAAGAATATAATTGGTGACTGCTTCAGCACCGCCGGTGTGTTGCAGAGCAACCCATCAACACTTACGACTGAGCGCGACGTTTCGCTGGTGATTGCAGCCAGCGTCACCTTCAGATTGTTTCTAAAACACGACGTCCCTTCTGAACTTTTCCTAGAAAAACAAGTTGTGTCTAGTGGCATGGAGTGACACGAATGACGCGAGAATTATCAAATATCTGCAATATCCCTTTCAACATCCTAGAATCGAAAACCCTCGATATAATCCAATATTCGCCCCTAGCCCCCACATCCTCCCACACTAACAAGTCGTAATGTCTCATCTCCCTTTTATTCACTGTAGGGGAGGCATAATAAATGTATGAATGTTGAACTTCTTTCGCACCGTATGTAGCCAATCGTGCAAATCGGAAGTGCGGGGGAAGGACAACAAACGAAATACAAAAAGCAGCTCTAAAGAAATCAGTTTGTCAATATAGATGATTTAAAAATGCATAGCTCCGGTGGCTTCCTAGTATCGGAAGGAAGAGCGTGACAGACGTTCGCAGAAGCGCATCTGAAAGCGCGCGATGCAGCGACCGTCTTTGTCCGATGGCTTAGCCAAAAGCCGCTGCGAGGATGACCGGAGTTTGCGTGATGGTTTATGCTCCTGGACGAGAACAGCAAGAACACCATTGGTACCTCATTTGCCAGTAAAATATATGATAATTGTTTTTTTTACCCTTTTTATCTGGCATTTACACCATTGAGGTGCCAATGGTGTAAATGCTTACCCCGAGCTCTCATACTCTGATGGTGCATTGTCTTTGAGTTGTGCGCCTTTTGGCGTCATCTGGTCCAACCCATGTGAGACTAGGCTCTAAGGAAAGCTGTCTCGGGTGTGGACCAATCAACTTCAAGGACAGTGCATACATTATCAGAGTTGTGTTTTTTGTTTGCATTATGACTGCAGGTATTGTGGTCTATGCAAACATGACTCCTCGTAAAAAAAGGTGTCAGTTTTGTTGCCAGATAAAAGGGTAAAAAAAACCAATTATCATACGAGATCAGCCAGGTATTGATGGTTCAAAATGCCAGGCGGGGAGGGAATTCCCTTCGCTAACACTGAAGTCTCATCACTAAAGACCTCTGACCAAGGCCCTTTGAACAATGAGCATATTGCAGGGCACGTTTCCTATTGAGATAATATAGTGTGGATTAGCACGTCAACTAATTATGATAATTTAACGAGAAGGATTTCGAATTACCCTCATACACAAATATTGTCTTGTGCAATTATATTCAAATCCTGAGTGCAACATCACCACGAATGCGTTCAGCAAGTAGAGCGTATCCAATTTGTTATTTAGAGATTGGAACAGATCTGTAAACAATAGTTTCATTATCAAGAACAAGCAAAGGGGACGTACAAGGTAAGCAACAACAACAAGTTTGAAAATTACAAAATTTTGATCCGGTAAACTTTGAGAATACAATGAAAGTCAAAGATACGTGGTTGTAGTTTTTAGTTTGTTATCTGCGTCACTCTCTTTTCTACATATTGGGTTTGGGAGATGGCCCACCACCTTCTCGGTGTGGCCCACCCGTTACGCGTTTCCCCGTGACCTTAAAACACAACTGATACCGACACCTAGGCATTCATTCGAATCCTACATACGATCAGTTGAGCTAAATGCTGAGAATGCTCTTGTTAAGGGCCAGAAAGTGATCGGACGTGGTATTCGAACATACCAACTAAGTTAAAACGACACAACCTCTCTTTATCTCTCTGCTGAAGACCTCTCGTCTTGGCCAGCAGCAGATCTCAGAGGTCGCAACCGGGTACCCGATACCCGTACCCTACCCGATACCCAGCTACCCATACCCGGCCGGGTACGGGTCGCCGTTTGTGCGACCCTGGTGCGGCCGGGTACGGGTAGGCCGTGAGTCACCGGTGAGTAGCCGTTTGTCACTCATTTCGGGTAGGGTACGGGTAGGGAACGGCTACCCGTACCCGGCCGGGTACGGGTACGGGTACCCATTTGCGACCCTGGTGCGGCCAGGTACGGAATCAAAACCCGTTTGCGACCTCTGGCAGACCTCGACATTGGCATTTGGCTGCTGAACCGTACTGCTGCTGCTATCGTGCGCAAGCATAGAATATAATCTACAAATTCGGTTTGCTGCAGGAGTCGGTTGAATCTACAATGAGCACTATTATCTGCGGACCCGCCAAGGATCGACAAATATCGACAGAGCCGAAACACCAATTAATCGCAACTGGGAATTATTATTGTTTCCATCAACGAGGTCACACGGTCGTGATGACTTTACGGGACTGCCTCTTGCTGTTGGGAGGGGGTAAAGGGTTAGGATGACTGATTTGACGAGCGGTGGTGCACCCAGTGCCGGATTATCCGAGTAACAAAAGTAGCATATGCTACGGGCCCGCACTTTCAAGGGCCCCGCGCTAAATGCTTTCAAGCTATCAATTCCGGTTCAGTAATTTTGCACTTGCTCTATTACTATAGTACTATACCGCCTTCAACTTTTACGAACGACTGGGTGTGTAAGGTGAGCGATTTGTCGTATTATCTGGCTGTGTAGCGAATGGAAAAATACAATTACTTTACTATGCAAGTAAAAAATGTGTGTTTTAATATTTACGTGTTTTTTATTTTATTTCTGGCCCCTTTATAACACATGCTACAGGCCCCGCACTTGCTTCATCCGGCACTGGGTGCACAGACGTAACGCGACTCTCCCAACAAATGGCAAAAATGACGCGACAATTAAAAGAGATTTTAAACAAAAAAACACTTGTATAAATACGTGTAACATTTCATCCCACCCCCCGTTCAAAATGACGCAGTGTGTTTTAACCCCCACCTAACTTATATGACTCACCGCAAGGGGGTTTTCGAATTTTCGCAGCATAAACACGGTCGACGTACGTGTTCATATTTGCATAAAGCAGGCTGGAGCGACCGCTGTAAGAGTCTGATGTGAGTTGAGCGCAATTACATAACGGTGACATTTTACATCAAATGTAGATAGATGTGTGCGTACATAGATAGACGGCGCGTGTGGCTGTCTCTTGTGAATTGTAAAAATATATATGTACACGCAAGCGGGTCTTGAATCAATTCCGCTTACATAATTTAGACATTTGCAGTCGATTCAATATTTCATCCCGAGCTGGAAATACTCTCTACGGTTGGGTGTGCACGCACGCACGCACGCAAGTTCTTCCAACCCATCGGCAGAAATGGGTAACTCGACGCATAGTTTTTGAAGCGTGCGTCTACGCACTTTAACCCCTGCCCACAGCGCTCGCCCATCTCCACTACGGTCACAACCCCCCCCTTCTCCCGCACCGCCCCCCCACCCCCACGGCTGCTTCATTCAAAATAAGTAACGGCAAAATCGAGCTTCTCAGGTTTTTCTCTCCCGTAGCTAAACAAAACGTACACCGCAACTGATGTTGGCCAACAAAAACAATTTCCGATGCGAAAAAAATTTCTGCAAATGACTCAATGGGGATCACGCACGTAGCAACATCGCCCCCCCGCCGGCCCCTACTGCGACAAACTTGGCAGGACCCTCCTGAAAAAGAGTCTCGAGACTCAGTGAGGCTTTGCACGTCCGTACGTTGAACTTCTTTTGCACCACCGTACGTAGCCAACCGTGCTAATAGGAGGCGCGGCGGAAAGACGACGACAAAAATGTAAAAAAACAAAATGTGATTTTAGGCTGCACAGAGAATCATTGCCACCAAATCCACAATGCCTTGCAGATTCTCCTACTACAACCAGTCGTGGGAGTATAACCTGCAATAGCGTGCATTAGCCCTGCAGCGTGACCATTATGTAAAAGAAGGGACCATTTCAAAACTCAGGGGCGCCGGACAGACTAACCGACGATACGATCTACTTTTGTCTACGGCGCATTCCGCTCTCGCTCACACTCCCGACGACGCGCAAGAGGAGACGCTGAACAACAACAACAACAATAAAACGCCAATGGTGTTTCACATTGCACGAACATCATTGGACTTCGCACTAAGAATTTTGAAGGAGGGGGGGGGGGCTGGCTTTGGGGGGGGGAACTGACCATTTAGCGGGGAGAGTGGGGCGTTTGGGGGGAGGGCGACTGCCTTACATGCCCATCTGCCCAGCAGAGCGCAGACTTATATAGAGCAGCATCAAGTAGCAAGGTGCAGCAGATGTTAACTCCCTCGCCTGGCATGGAGGAAGTCGTGGGTTCGATCACAACCCTGACGCCTGCTGCTGTATATTTGGAGTTTGCATGGATTTTTACTCTGGTTTTCCCTCCACATTTAGAATCAACGCGCGTTTACAGCAATTGGCTGCTCTTAATTTCCACGCGATAAGCCAACTTCGTTGAGCTATCATTTGTGGCCAGGTCGCTTCTGAAAAAACGCTATAAAGCTCAGTGGGCCTTACCTGAAAAAAGAAAAAATAGTTTTTAAATAGTTTAGAGATAGGACTAATGCACCGGTTTCATCCTTTTGAAGAATCGTCGGTAAGGTTTACAGGCACTGCTTCCCTTCCGCCATGATAGTGTCGAAGGCCGGCACGTAGCCTGAACGTCGCTTCTTGAACCCGCGACGCGTGCATCGAATGGTGCGCGTGCGCCACAACGTACAAGGACGTATTGGTGGTACACCGGTGCAGCGTAGCAGACCGGTCCTCATAATAGAGTCTAAAATAAAATTAGCTTCACTGACATTTCTGTCTTCCGACTGCTTCGACATCACGACAACTGCTTGCGGCGACGCGCCCCACCCACCCTGCAAGGGTTGCGAATTGCGGGAAAATACCGTGCACCTGTGTAACCACCAAAACGTTTGAATGCTCCGTGGTGTACGCAACTGGGTTCACGTCACCCCCATCGAGCAACTGAAGAGGCGTGACCATTCACTGAAGGATGGCTATGCACGCTAACATCCCTTTTCGTCGATGAGAATCCTCAATCGCAAGACGTGCGAGCGGGTCGTGACCAAGTGCGCTTCCTCCCCACCTCCGTCGTCAAATCAGGCGGAGCGTGCTGCAGCCGGCCACCGGGAACCCAGCAACATCTCGAGGCAGTGCTGGTGGAGGTGAAATGAGTCGGACACCCCGGATACGAGGTGGCCTTAGGGAACCGGTTACAGTACGCGTGCACGTACGTTGAACTTCTTCCGCGCCTTGGTGTGTTCTTTTACCAACCCGGTCGGCCGAGTTTGATTCCCAGCTAACGGCTGACGTGGGCGGCGAGTCGTTACATGAACTGGTGGAGCCTACTAATCGCATATCTGCATTTCCCATAAATATGCTAAATTCTTCTTGATATGCAAATTCTTTTGTCAAGGCGCTCTTCGCCCCTCCATCCCAGCTTAAATAGTCGCTCCAAGCCTGGGGCTTGTCATTCAGACTCTGTCTCCTCGACAGACCTGTTCTCCGCCTGAGGACGGCTACTTGCGTTGTGGCCGAAACGTCGTGAGAATTATTTTATTATGTTTTATTTTTATTATTTTATTATTTCAATTCTACGTGACTTTACCGAAAGAACCAAGAAGATGGTGGAGCCTTGCGCGCGCGCACACACCCAACCCCTTCCATCCGCAACCGGCACTAAACAGCGCGGTGAATTGCGGTCAAGCGACCGCGGCCAACTTGGCGTGGGAAGGCCTTCATCCAGCCGTGGATTTGGCAAATCGGCCATGATAGATATATCTACGCAACGTGTGTGCGTGTGTGTGTGGCCCAAAAGTTGTTTTTCACATCTCGGGTCCCCCGAACCAACCGTTTTTTTTCGACGGTCATCAATGATTACAGGGATAAAAAATAAACTTAAGAGCATAACGGGAATATTTTTTTGGTTGTTTGTGTGTTTTTCTAGCCGCCGGAATGAGATGAGAAGAGAAGCAAATTGCAACTAGGATTTTTTTTCTCTCTCTCTCTATTTCAAGTGCCAGCCTCACCGTCACCCCCCCCCCCCCACCCCCCCCAACTCATGTTATCTGGTCTCAATATTACTCAATAAATTATTAGTCTATGGGCAATGTTAGCCTCGGGGCGATGTTAGTCCATCTCTCCAAGGGCCGCGTCCTTTCCCAAAGATGCCGGCGATCGTGGACTTCCGCTGGGCTCTGCCCGCGATATTACCCGAGAGCACTGGCATTGAGATTCACCTTGTCCGTAACAAGGACGAGATGAGCGTTGTCCCAGAAGACCCACTCATCCGTGGTGAAGCCAATGGATCGGGCGTAATGGGTGCGTCTGCGTACAATGGAGGCGTCTCGCTCTCGAGGGCCACACAAAGCTGTCATCCCACAGATTGCTGTGGACGGGAGAAAGCGGTTGCCTCTCAACGCCTCCAGGATATCGCAGGAAAGATCAAATGCGCTCCCGCAAGTGTTACTCGAATCCCAAGAAGTAATGGATAAAAGGAAGAGCTGATGTGCAGATGACATACATCGCTGATAAGCTACCCGCCCCCCCCCCAACCCCCACATATTAACAGGAGTGATGCGTACATTAGGTCGTCAAAAAAAAAACAGCCGGAATATTTCAGCATGTGAAATTTCGTCTTGGCCTTGATACATTTTTGTCCAGTTAATGGGGCTGGGGGAATCGTTATTTGCAAGGGAGGATACTTAAACGTTTTTTTTAGCTTAACGTGACTTTCTACAAGTGCCGGTGTCGTGATTTCGCTGAATTAAATTACGTTTGTCAGTGCATAGAGGATATAGTATGTACAAGACATGCGTGCATGCAATTGTGATGTTAACCCATTCCTTTCCTCGATTTGATTCCACTCTCACCGACATTGTGTTTGCGATAAATTTCCCACTTAAGTTCCACCGAATGCGGTGGTACTTCATAGAGGTCCACTTTCCCTCAGCACCCAAGAAGCTCGGGGCATAACCCCACCACAGTGGCAAGTTCCACAAAGTGGTACAACAAAAAAACAAAAACGAAGAGTGCAAACCCATCCCGAGCGAAAATGCATTTCAATTCAATTCTGTGTCCAAAGGCTGCAAAAGGGTCAGGTCGAGGCTAGGCCGCACGCTCGGGGTGCAGACGTTCACCCAATCAAGATCGCATCACGGCGCCACGCTTTGCACGACCCCCAGCTCGACCCGAGCGGCGACTTCGCGCCTCGTCTCAACGAAGCTTCGGGTCAAAGCCGAGCACCTCCGCTTTGCTGAAAGCGCACGCCCACCTTACCCGGGGCACGTCTACACCGCCTACACGAACAACCGCAATGAGTCTGAGTTTAACCAAAGACTATCACCGCCCCTCCTCCCGTGCCCTATTCGCCAATTTTGCTAAGTCTCCCCGGGGCTATCCTTTCCCATGGCGGTTTATTTTCCCGACTTGGCTCGCTCCGTTTACACTGCGGCGAGCGAGTGAAAAACGTCAAGAGGACCTCTAGATGGTGGAGACGTAGCAGTCTACCGGCTCACTGTCCCGGTGACAGTTGCCCGGTTTGGTGGCGATGAGATGCTCGTGGCTTGCCAAAAGCGTGGAGCTCGTCGTGCAGGCCTCGCTGGACGGACTCATCGGGCCCGACTGTGACACGGAGATGCCCGACGTCGTGATGGCCTCCGAGGAGGCCGCCTGGCTGCCGGTGCTCTTCGTTTTGACCTTGCCGCATTCGCTTATCTCCCGCTCGCTCACGGACTTCACCATTTCCTTCAGCTCGTCCAGGCTGTCCTCGAACGCCAGCCGGTACGTGTCCTGGAAGGAGCTGCTGCGGTTGTCCAAGTTGAACACGCTGTCGATAAAATCCGAGAACTGCCGCACGTCCGGGCTGGGCGCGCACACGCGCTCGCTGCTGCGCGAGCACGGCGCGCAGTTCACTTTGCCGTTCTCGTTCGCGAGGCCGCTCACCAGGTCCCCCTTCAGCGCCTCCACGCCCCCCTTGGGGGGCTGCACGTTGACCGGCACCGGCCGCCGCCGGTCGCCGCCGTCAGACGAGTCCCTCGCCGCGCCCGTCCCCCCGCCGCCTTCTTCGTCGCCGCCGTCGTAGTCGTCGTCGTAGCCGCCCCCCAGGGCCTCCGGAGACTTTCTCGAGACGGCGTCGTGGGGCGCGGCCTCGCTGCGCGAGCTCAGCGAGGGGTTCTCCTCGGGGATCACGGGGTCGACGTAGTAGCAGGGCGGCTCGTCGCGCTCCATCACCACGCGCAGGCTGGGCGAGCTGCGCACGCTGCGGAAGCCGGAGGAGCGCCGCGAGTCGAAGCTGCCGATGGAGTCGTTGTCCGAGAGGCTCTCGACGGTGGCGAGCGGCGCCCGCCGCTCGTTGAGCTCCGCGACGAGCTGTTCGCGCGTGTCCCTCAGCAGCTGATCGACGGCGGCGGCGGCGGCGCGACCCGATCCCACCTCGCGCTCCGCCGGGTGCGTGTACTCCCACGACAGCTCCGACTCCTTGTTGCTCCTGCAAGGCCGAGCGCAGCGCGTGGACGTGATCGTCGCGGGACAACCGTCGTCATCCTCGCCGCTGTGTTTGGCATAGTGATGATGAAAAAATATCTAACAAATATATAAAAACGGTGATTTCCTGCCTGAATGGGCAGTGCACGTACGTATGCTGAACTTCTTTCACGCCGTACGTGGCCAAAACGTGCTAATCGGAGATGCGACCGTGCTAATCGGAGCATTGAGGGCGCAGCTCGTCTTCTGTCCATAGCCTTGAGCAGACAGAGGTGGAAAATTCCGTGGTCGGCACGAGTTTATCCACAGGATAAATGTCCACCACAACATGATGCGAATATTTAATCGATCCCGGGGGGGATGATGGGGCTGAATCCACCCGCCCCCCCACCCAACGCGGGATATGAACTCACAATCTTCTGATTGGGTGCCGCTCACTCTCCTGCTGAGTCACCTGGCCGGCTATTTGATATATATATCAAGGTTTATCCACAACCTCAGCGTTGATCTCTAGGTGATGGGGGCAATACTGTCGCCCCACTGGAAGCTGCACTCCAAACTCTCTCGCTGTCCTTCCCCCGCACCTTCGATCAGCACGGTTGGCTCCGTACGGCGCGAAATAAGTTCAACGTGCATACATATTTCTCTGTGTGCCGATGTACATCTCTCTCTCTCTATGTATCTCTGTGATATCTGTCTCTACTTATATGGCTGTCTATATGTCTCTGGTTCTGTGTTTTATCTCTCTCTCAAATTTAGCATTCTCAGGAAGAACGTAATCCACCAGGTAGGGCGTTGACTGTTATGTTATCCGACTCTCTGTTGTATTACATTACATTTCTAAGTATACTAGATTTGTGTTTCTATTTAATTTATACTTGATGATGATTGCTTGTGTTGCAATCGAAATGTTGTATGCTAGTATTTAATTCATTATTTTGTCTTGATACGTCACTTTACCGAAAGAACCAAAGAGTAATTCCTGCTGTCACGAAAGCTCCAAATTAAGTATGTACATACATATGTAGTGTAATAGCGCCGGCTGGTGGACAGCAGCGGTAGCTGTGGTGAACAGGCAGCACACACGCCGGTGAGGGCGTGGGCACGGTGCGTGTGGCAGAGAGGAGGAACTAGGGCAAGGGTCACAGAGGACCCCATCTGGAGGCCGCTGGAACCTGCTGGCGGGTTCGAGAAGGAAGGCGTGGTCAGGGCGGAGCCAGGCCGCGCTGGGAGCATAAAAGGAGACGAGAGCGGGGGGCTCAGGGCTGCCGGTTCTGGGAGTGGACTCGTCTCGTCGTTGCTGTCGTCTTGTCGCTAAACGTCTCCGCTAGATATTGTGCTACAAGATAGTAGTTGGCTCTCTCAGTCGGCGCCGTCAGTGTTAGACGGCTGGTGTTGTGTCCAGGCCAGGCTGAGCTACTGTGGAGAGTGTGCGGACGAGACCGTGAAAGTTGCCAATGAAGAAAGTGCCTCCTAGAAACTCTGTCTCTGAATCGTTGACACTGCACATACACAGACTCACACAGAGACCCATAGTTTGTTGTCCTTCCCCCGCTCCTCCGATCGGCACGGTTGGCTCCGTACGGCGCGAGAGAAGTGCAACGTACGTACGTACAACACACGAAGCGGCGCGCGTTTACCTGAGGCTGAGATCGCTCTTGCGCTCCGCCGTGTTGTTCTGCACGAGGCAGGCATTGGGGTCCAGGTCCATGGTGGGGCTCACCATGATCTTGGCGGCTCCCAGCAGCGCCGTCTTGCCCTTGTTGTAGTTCTCCAGCACCTGGTTGTGCCGGCGGAAACAACCGCGCGGTGAACGCCGATCTCGTCGGAATGGAGCACGAAACCCACCACCCTCCCCCGCCCCGTCTTGCCGCGACGGCGCCGAAGCGTTACCGCTGGAAGGCCCGTTTGCGAAAGGAGCGTGGCAGCAACCGAGCGAGTGAACGCGCGGGCCCTGGGGTAGCGGCCGCGTTACCTTGTGCATGCCGTCCATGACCACGTGGGCCAGGTGCTCGTGCAGCATGGCCGGGGAGATCACCACCTCGTGGAAGCTCTTGTTGTCAGCCCACAGCGCGTGGTACGTGGGCTCCTCCTGTTTCCAGCAGCTGCACCAACCGGTGGACAGTGACAAAGATACACCCATAGAGCCTTTAACAAACTGTTGGGGCACGGGCTGCTAGCGAGGGTGGGGAGGCGGGGGGAAGGGAGGGCGGGGGCGACAGGGCGTGGATTCATCGTTACGTTCGCTGCAGAGAATGTAACGAGAGCCTCCCCCCCCCACACCCTCCACAACTTCCTGTATACCAGGCGAGGGAGTTAACATCTCGACACTCCATATCAGCAGCAGCAAGAATATTAACATTGACAGCAACTTCAACAGCAGCAGCAGCAAAGACAGCAACTTTAAAAGCGTATTGTAGTTGGGAAAAGTAAATAAAATGGGATGTAATTTTTTTTAAGTAGCAGAATTATTATTGCAGGGGTGGCCTCCAGTCCATGTCACGTTTCACATTTCGGTTGGCGTACCAGGTGTCAGGCGGGTGGTTGTGCACCACGTGGACGATGTTCCCCGGCGGGTACAGCGGGATGGAGGAGCACGGCGTGAGCGACATGTCGCTGTGGAAGCTGCCCAGCTTGTTGTTCACCATGTGGTTTGCCTCCGCCTCGGTGAGGAGCTCCGACTTCCGCAGGCATTTGGTGCCCCCCACGATGATCCTCCACTGCGGGGCGGGCAGGGGGGGGCGACGACGACAAGGAAGGAACGTACCCTCCGATTAGCACGGTTAGTTACGTACGGTGCGAGAGAAGTTCAACGTAGGCACATTAAACGAGGGCTTGGTTAGGATGGCGGCCACGAGGTGGATTTTTTTTTTTTTAACAACTCCGGCACTTGGCGTCCAGCTCTTCGAAACCCTACGATGACAACGGGGGAAAGAAATAATTTTTTTTTTTTTTTTTAAGTTTAAAGTATGAGTGGCAGACGCAGCTGCGCTGCCACAGAGCGAGTAACAACGGTCCGCCATCAGGGCCATGCGTCCCGCTCGGACACACGCGGCGCGCGAGCAGCGGTGGCGAGAGTCCGTCGATCGCGGATCGTCGGCCTCACCGGGGCCCCATCGTCGGACCCACGGGCAGGAGGCCGGTGATGATGATGAGGATGGAAAACGATCATTCCAACCGACATGTGAGGGATTGCCGAAGGTGGAGACTTGGCACGTCTGCCGGTTTTGCAGCAAAGCAAGGGAGTGCTTGACGTAACGGTTGCCACTCCTCTGCACGTACGTATATGTTGAACTTATTTCGCGCTGTACGTAGCCAACCGTAATCCTCTAGCATACCATCCTGATACCCGTGAACCCTGTTGTCCACAAGGGTCAGCCCAATTCTCTCATTCGCAGCGCCCAGAAGATGTACAAATCCTGGCCAACATGTGACGACCACATGCGCACGACTACTGATGACGTGAACGCTAGGTAATTAATGAACAAATCTGCAGAGCGGCTGTGATATCCCGCCCGAGATGAGAGTTCTACGCGAGGGCGCGGAGCCAAGACGCTCCTTGGCAGCTTTACCCGTGGCATGCCATGTGCGAGGCGCGCAAGGCGGCACCCGGGAAAAGCTGCACAATGAAAGTCTGAAACGCGTAAACCACGGAGATATATTTACTGTAAATCTAACTTACGTGTGAGCCCCTATCCCAGAAATGTGACTGCTAATGTAATCTCCCCGCAGCTAAGCGGCTCGTTGCGCAGAACTTGGAAAGCCGCGGTGACAGAAGCAGCTGCCATGACAATCCCTGGACGATGCCTTAGAGGACAAAGAGACCTTTTGCACGAGATCGGCGAGCCCTTTTCTTAACGTCTCCGAACGTAGCAGAAATTATCACTGTATGTGCGAGGGGCCCCATTCGCATCTTCACGAAATGTCAAGACGCGAATTCTCCATGGCGATGATTCCCTGTCGTCGACCGCGCAGACATCGCTCAGACATCGCACGAAAGGAGGAGGGGGATGATAAGGAGGAGGAGGATCTACAGTGTTAGGAGCTGGGTTTTTTTTACAAAAGGTTTGACAACAGCACCAGCCAGACGGGTCATCGAGACCACCAGGAGATGTGTGTTTCACGAGGTGAGAAAAAGGCATGTCCATCAATCAGAAATGCCTTGCATGCCAACATCAAGATATTGAAATTGATGCCTCCTTTCACTGGAAGCCAGTCAAATGTTTCCACAGCTGGCACGATGCGCTGCTGTTATGTCCTTACTCTGTGGATTGTATGCATGTATGTTGACTTTTCTGCGGCTGTCCGGAACGCTCTTCCTTCCCGATATTCGGATGCCAATGGAACTCTGCACTTTTACATCATCAACATTGAAAACGCCTTTCTTTAGAGACTGCTTTTAGTGTTTAGTTTGTTGTCCTTCCCCCCGCGCCTCCGATTAGCACGTGTGGGTGCGAAAGAAGTTCAACATACATATAATTAGTTTAACGTCGGCTTTCGCGACCAATATTACCCATAAGAGGTTTTTGGGTTAGATCGCGAAAAATAAAAAATGTGTTGTTAAACCCACCACCACCCGACACAGCCAAATAGTAAGGTTTGTCACGTAAACAGAACGTGCCATTTCGGTCCGAGTACAGCACACTGGTGTCGGGTGGTGGTGTGTTTAACGACACATTTATATTTACGTGATCTAACCCAAAAACCTGTATTGCGGATACACACTTGATAATTGTTTTGTTTCAGCTACGAGCAGCTGCACGTGCTGATGTTCCAGCCCGGCGCAGTGGTATCCCCGCGCTGCAAGCCACACTCTGTCTCTCTCCCGCAGCCCTGCTACAATGGCTTCGAGCACAATGTTAAAAAATGTATATCTTGGGCATAGGGCCGTTTGCTCTAATGCCCTCCAGATCATATCAACTAATGGAATCAGTCTCCTCGCTACCACTATACAGTGATTGAATACAGGTTTTTTTTTGTTTCTTTTATAAAAATAAATTATGTACAAGTGCCTTGGAGGCATTAAACGATGCATCAATTCGTTGATTAGAATTGATTCTTACGCTCGCGGGAAGGATGCATCGAATCGCGCGCACCGCACAGCGATCTGTCACGCTTTCCGTCCGCATGCGTCCGAAGCAAACTCCGCATTCCACTCGAGATGACGCATGCACCACAGAGCAGAACAGGATCGATTCCTGAATGAAAATCGTCACCCCGATTCGTGACAATTCATGGCATCATCGACGGGATGGTGGCGGGGGGGGATAGCGAGGAAATCCTGGCGTGACAGTGGTTAACGCCTTTAGCGCATGTGGCAATGCAGCCTTGCGCATGCAGTGCAGCTGCACTTTACGAATTCTAGATTTGAAGCTTTCGTGACTGCAAGGATTCATACTCTTAGTTCTTTCGGTAAAGTCACGTAGGTAAAAAATGAAATTAAAATTAATAAAAATAAAAAAATAAACGTCGTGATTTAATTGTTTTTTTTTTAATTAATTTTTATTTCATTTTTTACCTACGTGACTTTACCGAAAGAACTAAGAGTATGCACTATACGAACACAATTTTTTTAAATTTGCGTTACATCGTGTAAATATATAAATGTGTCGTTAAACCCGCCACTAGCTGATGCAGCCAATTAGTGAGGTTGCGTCGCGTAAACGAAACGCGCGAATTGGTTAATACTTCAGCGCACACCCCGTAGTGTGTTGCAGAGTAAAGCCCACAATTGGGGCTCTTCTTCTCTCCGATGAGGATTCGCCGACGCGCCCAACCACCCACAGTGTGCACGGGGACACAGCGGGGCAACGGTGGAGGCTGAACTGCACTCCCTCGTCGTGGCTTCACTCTGCTTGCTGTGCTCGTCTGGCAGTGCGGAGAGCAGGCGCGGAAAGGGCACCTTCGATTTGAGTTTAGAAGTAAACGTGGACTTATTTAGACTGCGGTGTAGGGAATCCAAGTGAACGACGCGAAAACTGCGAGGCACGGTGGCAGAGGGGGGCGAGGAGGACTTCGTGCATACATACGTACGTACGTACGGACAGTTCGATGGGTTTACGATTGCTGACGATGGATAGACGGATATTTTGCGTGCATCGTGGGTGGACTGAAAAGAAAACAAATGAACGGGTTCTGGAGAAAGCGGGTGTTGAAAGAAAACTGTTAGAGGTGATAATATCAAGAAAGCTTAGCCTACTATGGTCATCTCATGAGAATTAAAAAAAATAAAAAGAATTTCATTTTATATAGTGTCATTCATGCAATTGCATCCCACGATGCTGCACATCAATGATCCAGTTCCGTACAGAAAAAAAAGCTAAAACAAATCCCCACTACTTAGCAAATAAAAAAACCAAAACGAACACATAAATTGAACTTGTTTGGAACAGCAGATTATGCAGGGCACAATGCCCGTTTCACGTGCGCGAGGAAGACGAAGGACCACAACGGATGGATAACATCAAAGCATAGACGAGGCGCACGCTGGAACAGACAGTGAGGATGGCAGAAGTCAGAAGTCAGTGGCGAAGGATAGCCTACGGTGCGGCCAACCCTCGGATTGACGACGGCTGAAGTCAATTACAGGAAAGGATAGAGGGGCTGAGGGGGGGGGGGGGGAGCCAGCAACGAGAGTGTGAGGCTCGCGATCGCGAAGGAGGTTTTAATGGGTTCAATCCCTGGCCGTGGTCGGGCCGGCCTATTCACCCCCTCGGAGAGGGGGGGGGGGACCCAAATGAGCGTCACCCGAACCGTGTCGACGATTGCGAGTGGGCCGCGGGAGCGCGGGTATCGGGCGACGATTTTGAGTACCTTGGGCCTGTTGGTCCTCGTCAGCACGTCCAACAGCTGCCTGCGAAACGTCTCCAGCTGGGGCAACCCAATCCTGTCAAAGCACAGCACAGACACTGCGTCGGCACCCCGTTCTGCGATCGTGCGAGTGGTGCACATAAATGGGAGCGGTGGTGCAGCGGTTAGCGCTGCGCTACGAACCCGGCGACCCGGGTTCGATTCCCGCTCGCGGCCAACACCAGCAGTGACGATTATCTGAACCGGTCCTGGGTCTCCCCTAGGTCGACTCGGCCTCAAATGAGTACCTGGTGCGGTGTGTAAACATCGCCACTGGGGAGACAAAGGCGGCCGGCGTGGTGTTGGCCACCCACCCCCCCCTCGTGTGCCGTACCGGCCTTCATAGGTGCTCGCTAACAGCACTTGCCCCTACAGTCTGTTAAGGCTACACGGGGTATCTTTGTCTTTGGTGCACATTGCTACTGTGATAAAGATGACAAACGGATGGCTCGGCAGCCTGGCGTCCACTTCGGGGTAGAGTTAATAAATCAGCAGCCCCCTTTGCCGCACTCCGTCAGTGCCAAGCCTCAAAGCCTGGACGATCCCATGGCTCAATCACCCAGTCGCTTGCATCAGCCTCCTCGTTTCACCTCTTCCCCATTTCATCCCTATGCTCTGACGTTTTTTTAATATTAAACTATTTATTATTTTACCAGGTTAAGGGGCCACTGAGCTGTGGAGCTCTTCTTCAGAAATGACCCGGCTATCACATATGACAGCGCGAAGAAGTGGCTTATCACGTGGAAAATGTACAGCAGTAACCATATACTCTAAACGCGTTGTGACGTTGATTCTAAATGTGGGGGCGGGGGGGGGGGGAAACCGGAGGAACCGGAGAAAAATCCACATGACCATGGAGAGACACGAAATATACACATCAGGGTCGGGATCGAACCCACGACCTCCTGTTAATCACGCGAGGAAGTTGACATTACCGCCAGCGTGCTGTATTCAGACGCCTTAAAAAATTATTTTGTTACTTCTTTACGCAGCTTCCATATGCATATATATCACAAAGACAAAGATTCCCCGTAAAGCCTTCAACCGACTGTTGGAGCAAGTGCTGTTAGCGAGCACCTATGAAGGCCGGCACGGTACACGAGGGGGTGGGTGGCCAGCACCACGTCCGGCCGCCTTTGTCTCCCCTAGTGGCGATGCTTTACACACCGCACCAGGTACTCATTTGAGGCCGAGTCTACCGAGGGTGGAGGCCCAGGTCCAGTCCAAATAACCGTCACTGGTGTTGGACGTGAGCAGGAATCGAACCCGGGTTCGTAGCGCGACGCGCTAGCCGACAAGGCCGTAGCCATGGAGTCAACATTGGGGGGGACCAAATCTTCCAGGGGGTCTGGGGCCCCCCCCCCCCAGAAAAAAAATCTAAATTTGAAAACTAATTTCTTGCCTAAAATATAAAAAAAAATTCACCAACACATGGGATTGACTTTTTATTTATTTTTACAATAATGTCTAATAGTGTATTGTATTACGTTGCTCTGTTTTTTCTTTTTTTACCTTTTCTTGTTTCATTGCATGTAATGGCAGAGATTAGTGATTCATAAAGTACAACCATAACCACAATCATATAAAAATAAATCTATTTTATAGCAGTATGTTGGGGGGGGGGGGGACATTTTGAGCATATTTGAATATTGGGGGGGGGGGGGGGGAATGTGTCCCCCCCAATATATAGTAAAATTACGGCCTTGCTAACCGATACACTACCGCTTCCCACGATGCACACACACACACAGAGCTCTCTTTGGTGTTCCCCGCAGGTATGAAACATCACTCAAACCAATCCATTATTAACTCCCTGAAATCAATCTACGTTTATAAAACAAATATTAAAGTTTACACACCCTGGGTTCTGTTTCATAAGAAATTGCATTTCCAAGCGGGTTTCTGTCAACCTGAAGGAGCTGTGTATTCATCACACCCGGATCCCCGCCGCGTTGCGCGGCGCACACGCAACAAGGCCGGCATTTCATCGCCGCGGCGGGGAGCTCAGAACGGGGCCGAGGCACGGAGCAAACTCTCAAACGTAAAACCCAGCGCTCTCGCCCCTTAACGCTTGGAAGACACGGTGGCTAGGAGATGTTAACCACCTCGCCTGGTGTGCAGGAGGTCGTGGGTTCGACGCCGACCCCCGACGCCTGCTGTATGTTTCGGAGTTTGCGTGTCTCTCTCTCATCATGATCATCACGGTGGCTAGGAGATGTTAACCACCTCGCCTGGTGTGCAGGAGGTCGTGGGTTCGACGCCGACCCCCGACGCCTGCTGTATGTTTCGGAGTTTGCGTGTCTCTCTCTCATCATGATCATCACGGTGGCTAGGAAATGTTAACCACCTCGCCTGGTGTGCAGGAGGTCATGGGTTCGACGCCGACCCCCGACGCCTGCTGTATGTTTCGGAGTTTGTGCGTCTCTCTCTCATCATGATCATCACGGTGGCTAGGAGATGTTAACCACCTCGCCTGGTGTGCAGGAGGTCGTGGGTTTGACACCGACCCCCGACGCCTGCTGTATGTTTCGGAGTTTGCGCGTCTCTCTCTCATCATGATCATCACGGTGGCTAGGAGATGTTAACCACCTCGCCTGGTGTGCAGGAGGTCGTGGGTTCGACGCCAACCCCGACGCCTGCTGTATGTTTCGGAGTTTGCGCGTGTCTCTCTCTCCCCCGTGGCCACGTGGAATTTCTCCGGGTCCTCCGGTGTTCCCCTCCGCATTGAGAGTTGGCGTGCGTTCAGATGATATGGCTGCTATAATTGTCCACGTGATGACAAGCCACTTCGTTAAGCTGTCATTTGTGATAGCCAGGTTGCTTCTGAAAAAAGAGCTATACAGCTCAGTGGGCCTTACCTGGTAAAATAAATAAGTTTAGTATTAAAAGTTTCATATTTGTATTGAATCATTAATGCCCCCGCCCCCATCAGAGCCCCACCCCCAACCGCGTGACTCGCGCCCCTTTCACTGGACCCCTCTCCAGCATAACAAGGATTTATCATCAGCCTCGATTTATATATTTGGAGTTTGCGGTGTCTCTCTCCCCTTCGTCACGTGGGTTTTCGTTACAATAAGACTCTCCACGACAACAGCCATTCACCAGAGAGACTGGTTGCCTCCCAGTGCTGAGTCTATGAGCAGTGCTGAGTCTATGGGCAGTGCTGAGTCTATGGGCGGTGTTGAATCTATGGGTGGTGTTGAGTCTATGGGCAGTGTTGAGTCTCTGAGCAGGGTTGAGTCTATGGGCAGTGCTGAGTCTAAGGGCAGTGTTGAGTCTATGGGCGGTGTTGAATCTATGGGCGGTGTTGAGTCTATGGGTGGTGTTGAGTCTATTGGCAGTGTTGAGTCTATGGGCGGTGTTGAGTCTATGGGCAGTGCTGAGTCTATGGGCAGTGTGGAGTCTATGCGCAGTGTTGAGTCTATGGGCAGTGTTGAGTCTCTGGGCAGGGTTGAGTCTATAGGCGGTGTTGAGTCTATGGGCGGTGTTGAGTCTATGGGCGGTGTTGAGTCTATGGGCAGTGTTGAGTATATGCGCAGTCTTGAGTTTATGGGCAGTGTTGAGTCTATGAGCAGTGTTGAGTCTATGGGCAGTGTTGAGTTCTATGGGCAGTGTTGAGTCTATGGGTAGTGTTGAGTCTATGGGCAGTGTTAGTCTATGGGCAGTGTTGAGTCTATGGGCAGTGTTAGTCTATGGGCAGTGTTGAGTCTATGGGCAGTGTTGAGTCTATGGGCGGTGTTGAGTCTATGGGCAGTGTTAGTCTATGGGTAGTGTTGAGTCTATGGGCAGTGTTGAGTCTATAGGTAGTGTTGAGTCTATGGGCGGTGTTGAGTCTATGGGCGGTGTTGAGTCTATGGGCGGTGTTGAGTCTATGGGCAGTGTTGAGTCTAGGGGCAGTGCCGAGTCTATGGGCAGGGAGCTTGTGATCACCAAAAAGATACCTGCGGTGTCCCAATGCCAGTCGGGAGCACGGCGTCGCAACCCGCTGAGGTCCGTCGTCAAACTCTCCCCTCTGCTGTTGTCACGCCCCGCGCTCTACAAGCGCAGCCTCCAACTCTCATGCCCTCTACCTCTCTTTGGCCTTGCTCTTTACACGTGCGTATGTACGTACGTCGAACTTCTTTCGCACAGTACATAGCCAACCGCGCTCAATTGGTGGGCCATTGCCACGAACGTCCCGAAATACCAAGCTTTTTGAAATACGACATTACATTAATTAAAACATTTATAGAACAAAGAATACGCAACGTATTTTCGCTGATAAATATACTTACACTAGCTGTACTACCCGGCTTCGCCCGGGACTTGTATCCACCACGCCCGGCCGCCTTTGTCTCCCCAGTGGCGATGTTAATACGCCACACCAGTTACTCGTTTTGCGGCTGAGTCCCTCCCTCACCACTCTCCCTCCCTTACCACTCTCCCTCCCTCAGCACTCTCCCTCCCTCACGACTCTCCCTCCCTCACCACTCACGCACGGCCGCCTTTGTCTCCCCAGTGGCGATGTTAATACGCCACACCAGTTACTCGTTTGAGGCTGAGTCGACCTAGGGGAGGTTCAAATAATCGTCACCGGTGGTGGCCGTGAGCGGGAATGGAACTCGGTTCGCCGGGTTTGTAGCGCAGCGTAGCGTTAACCACTACACCCACCGCTCCTCACACACCACACACGCACAGACACACACACAGACACACGCAGACACACACAGACAGACACACACACACAGACACACAGACAGCACGCTAACCACTACACTACCGCTCCCCACACACCACACACGCACACACACAGACACACACACAGACACACACACACAGACACACACACACAGACACAGACAGCACGCTAAGCACTACACTACCGTTCCCCCTACACAACACACGCGCGCGCATCCATAGGTACACATACACGCGCTTGCTGCAGACACACACGACTTTCAGGGTGCGTACGGCAGTAAACGACTGAAAAAAGAAAGCGGCAATGCTGGGCGAGGAACGCCTTAGACCTGCAACACATTTGTGTAATGCGAGCGTAAA